CAACTAACCAACCAATCTCACAAGAGATGCTGCACCGGGAGCGTTTCTGATCAGGAGCCAGAAGCCGTCATGTCCAGTTGATTCCTCAGGGTGTTCTCAACTCTCTCATGAGTATTGCCTACGTGAAGTAATGACTACCGTGTCGCAGAATAAACTACCCCCAGCTTAACTATACTGAGTCAAATTAAAAACTTCACATTTTTAAAAGTAATCCCATTTATGATATACAACGGACAAATGTATCAGAGAAGGTAATTTTTAATCATTAATGTCCAAAGAAGGATTTTAATTAACGGTGGTAACCATAATTTGTTCAAGCACCTACGGTATTCGGTAATAACATCAACAGTTTAAGTCATATGTCCTAAGCACGAGAATCTGATGGCACACAAGTTCAGTAGCGTGTATAGCCACCGTGTGCGTTGACAACTGCCACACAACGCCTCAGCATGGACCTTGTGATGCTTGTGAACACATGATTGGGAAGACGACGCCATTGTTGCTGCAAAATGGTGCCAAGATCTTGCAAATTCTGTGGTTGGTTCTGGAGGAGTGCGCAGACTTCTGCCAAGAGCACACCAGACGTGTTCGATGGGATTGAGGTCGGGAGACCTTGACGACCAGTCCATGACGTTGACTCCCGCATTCTGAAGGAAATTCCTTGTCAAAATTGCTGTGTGGGGTCTGGCATTGTCGTGTTGGAAGATCAAACCGGGTACATGTGCTGCCATAAAAGGCAGAAGTTCTGGTGCCGGTCCCTGGTCGCGGCAAGCAGCAGCGTTGAGGTTGCCACGGATGACAAGAAGCCTGGAACGTGCATTGCCACAGAAAGCACCCCACACCATGACACTTCCGCCTCGAAATCTGTCAACTTCCTGTACACAACACTGGGCGTAACGTTCATGACGGCGCCTCCACACCCTCGCCCTACCATCAGCAAATCGAAGATTAAATCGGGATTCATCACTGAAGACGACTTGATTCCATTCCTCTGAGTCCATCGTAAGTGTCGCTGTGCCCACAATTGACGTTGACGTCTGTGTAATTGAGTCAGAATCGGCCCGCAGTATGGCTGTCGTGCTTGAAGGTGAGCAGTTCTCAGACGGTTTCGAACAGTTTGCGTACTCAGCCTACCCCTAAACAGTTCATTTCTGGTTGATGTAGCCGTCAAAAATCGGTCACTGAGGTGACGTAAGACAATCTGACGATCCTCTGCATGTGACGTCACACGTGATCGACCTGGCCGAGGGCGATCAGCGGTGGTACCCGTTTGCTGTAGACGCGTCTGTAAATCATAAACAGTCCGTCGACTACAACCCATCGTCCTTGCGACTTCAGCTACGGACGTTCCCGTCTGCAACATGCCGATGGCACGTTCACGTTGCACATTTGAAAGGCGTTTTCTTGTGTTTTTCGTTTTTGGTTAATGACTGCTAACAACTATGGCTGAAAACACGTGCGGTATTATGGCCACGTGACCAGTTGCACGTGAAAAAACAGTGTTGCCACTATAGTGCTGTGCACATGATTTTGATCGATTCACCTGCACCAAAAACGGGTGTTATCTGAGGACAATACGTGGCCATTACTGTTTAAATACACAATGAAGGCCCACTATGACAACTGGTCAAAATGTTAAAATTTTAGGATTGTTAAGTTTTTAATTTGGTTCAGTATATTGGGAATCTAATCATGTAATCAGTTTTTTGAGAATGTACGGGGAAAATGACTGCTTTACCGTCAGTCTGAAATCTCGAACCAATCAAATAAAACAATCAACTTGAGAAACAAAAGTCAATTCCAAAAGTAAAAAAAATACACAAAAAATAAATGTTACTACATTTGGGATAAGAGGGGAGATATTCAAAGATTATCATCTGATTGAAGATCCGGGAAAGAATGGGTCTTCAGCAAACCATGCTTGCCGTAAAAGGCGACTAACGGGATCGGGTGGTCAGGCTCGCTGACTTGGTTGATGCATGTCATCGATCCTAATTGTGTGGATCGATGTTCATGATATTAATCACTGGATTCTCTGGTCGAGACTTGATTATTTACAGACCGCCGTCATATAGCTGGAATGTTGCTGAGTGTGGCGTTGAACAACAAACCAACCAGCCAACCAAAGTTGTGAATTATTTCGACACCGATTGCTCCCTTCCTTTCAAGTCACACCAAGACAACAAATTACCCTATCAGTTTTACCACCTTCTCTTCTCATGGAGACCATGTCATTCACTAACGCTAATCGAGGTTCGTCCACGCGAGGCGTCTTGTCCATATTGATTACCGGCTCTGGACAAGAAAGTAAAGTGTCAAGCAGTACATACAAGGAGATAATGTGAGGAGATTTTGCACGGATACCTTTAATTAATCGAATACGAAGACGTGTACATTTAATTATTTTCTCATTTAAATCTTTCCGGACGTCTTGTCGAAAAACCAGGTTGTATTTTTCTAATTTGTTTTGTTCTTTTAGTTTTACATGATTTCCTGTTGATCAGCGAGAAAACTTGATGTGGAATGCAATCTTTTAAGAACTGCAGCGTTGACATGCCCTTCACACTAATCAACAGAATGTATTTTTATGTATCCTTTTCCTCAGGTTAGATTAACAATCTGTGTAAAGGAGTACCTTCCACGATGCACCAAATGCCATGTGTAGCACCAGATGACATCCTTACTTTGTCGAATCCCAACATCATGTTATGGCCACTAAATTGGCGCTCAAAGTAGGGTTGAGCGTTCATATTAATTTTGAGCTGATTAAATTCCATTACTCAGTGGTCACTTGAACCCAGAGGAACACTTGACTTGCCTTTGCATGTGTTTTTAACGGGTGCCAACATTGGGACAGGATAAGCTCACCTGTTCGCGAATACCTAATAACAGCATGCTCATTGTGAAACTTAAATACATACACTTAAAGATCCGGGTCGGAATTGGTCTTCAGCAACCCATGCTTGTCTTAAGAGGAGTACTTTGGCCAAGTTCGATACGCATTATGCCACTCACCGTATTGTTTGGTCTAGACTCGATTATTTACAGATTGCAATCATATAGTTGGAATAATGCCGGGCGTGGCGTTAAACAAAAAACAAATACACGTAAACAAACGGCTCAAGATGCCGTCAGAATCGTACAATGGTCCTCTGTCGCTAACATTCTGTTGACGGGGATGTATGCGCAAGTGTGGAGTCATTCCACACAGATGAAATTCTTACCTCGTCAGCCTGCTGACAGGGTTAACCTCTTGTGATGAGGGAACCGCCTCCAGGGAACGTCTACTTTGAGAGCGGAAGGTCGGGGGTTCGATCCCCGTCCTCCTCATACGAAAAAAACGTTAAAGGAATGTACATGCTGTTGTCCCGCCGAGCGCTCGGCATTAAAGGCATAGAACAAGGACTGGTCGGCTTGGAGTCGGTATACAGGGTCTGAGGGGGTATCAATGTTAAACTGCGGCATAGAATCTCAGTGTGCTAGAATTATAAAACCGACATTATGTGTCACACACATTCACACACACACGTGCATGCACGTCGTTATACAAGTGCAATGATTTTGAACAGGACATTAAACCCCATCTTGTCATGTGGACTCAGGACGCCTAGTGGCTAAAGTGTTCGCCCGTCATGCCTCAGACCCTGGTCCGATTCCTTACATGGTAGCACTGTGTAAAGCCCCTTTCAAAGACGACTTTGCTTGTACGAGGCGACTAACGGGATCGTGCGGTCAGGCTCGCTGACTTGGTTGATGCATGTCGTCTAAGGCGCCGCGATTCGCTGTGCAGAGTTGCGTCCCTTGGGCACGCCAGAAACCTATGATTGTGGGTTCGAATCCCGGTTCGCCCCGATTAAGTTTCTAGGTTTTTCAGCACCATACCCATGCTCGTGGGTTTCACCGAAGTGGTAAACGTCTGAGACCTGCTTCACTTCGGGCTTTCCTCCCACATTAAGCTGACACGCCGTGATATGACTGGAATAATGTTAAAAGCGGCGTAAAACCCAACCCACTCACTCACTCACTCTTATGAATACGGAACGGGTTTTGTCGCTTGACAAGGTAGAGTCAGTCGTGAACCTTACATAAAAAATTCTCGGTATCAAATTACCATCTCATTTCGATTATTATAAAAAAGGTTTTTGTTTTAAATCGACCAGTTGTGCTGCATAGGAAATGAAATAAAGCGTCTGTTTATTTTTGTCTAACGTCGCACTCAGCAATGTCCCAGCTCTATGACGGCGGTCTGTAAATAATCGATTCCAGTGACGAGATGACATGCATCACCCAAATCAGTGAGCCTGACCACCCAATTTCCTTATTGGCTTCTTACAACAGGCATGGGTGGCCGAGTCTCCACGTTAATCACATCACCCCCTCCCATCATAATTGGTAAATATACGCGATTGAGGGAAGAGCGGTGTGGGATCTATTGACTAACATGATTCTTCGTGTTAGGATGTCAATACCCTGAATTTCTTGTTTCGTCCAATCAACAACACCAAAAGAATATGAAAGGACGGATACACCATAAGTATTTGTGGCTTTAACTTGTTGCGAGCGTTCAGCTGTGAACTCTGTGCTGTGATTTTCTTAAGCCTACATTTAAACTCTGCCCGAAGTTTTTCCTTGATATGGGCATTCTGGGGTTTGTCCCTAATCTGCATCCCTAAGGACGTATTATCATCATCATCATCATCATCATCATCATCATCATCATTATTATTATTATTATTAAGGTGGGACCAAACAATGCTATCATCATCCTCATCATTATTATTATTATTATTATTAAGGTGGGACCAAACAATGCTTTTTCTCCCACGTTTTTTTATTCAGGCAATCCAGTGAAAACATTGAGTTGAAGGCAAAATATTTTTTTAAAGGTTTTTTCTTGCACCATAGCCGACAAACAATAACTCTTACTGCGTGGTCGTCTCTTTGTGCAAACTACAAATTATGTTTAGACGTTTAAATAATTGAAAACTCTCACACCTTTATACATAAAAGGAGAATGTATTTCCAAAGAGGGCACTCACTCAAAATAACAGCGGACCTGCTTACACACTAACTACAAAGAAGAAGATCGCTGAAATGGTTAGAGTAAACATTGTTCTTAAAGACAAATAGAGATCGCCAGAGCCGCTTTCCGCTGATTGCACGATTTTACACGGCTCAATGGCAATCGTTTCAACAAAGCTCTCATCATGTTCGGCTCGGAAGTCCTCGCCTTTCAACATAGTCCCAAATTGCCTCCAACCGGAAGTCGTCTGTTGTGTTGACAAATTACTCCGCAAAAGAAGGTAGTCCTGGAAAACACAAATAAAACATTTGATAGGTCAGAGACCTTAAACACGGAGCTCATCGGTGGAATAAATTTAGACAAAGAGGTCTGTCAATCTAAGTTGTTTCGTCAAAAAGGAAGCTCAAAATTTAAACTTTTCTTCACAAGTGAATCAGCTTTCTTTCTTCTAGAAGGGGCGGACGGGAAGCCTAGTGGTTAAAGCGTTCGCTCGTCACGCCGAAGACCCGGGTTCGATTCCCGACATGGGTACAATGTGTGAAGCCCATTTCTGGTGTCCCCCGCCGTGATATTGCTGGAATATTGCTAAAAGCGGCGTAAGACCATACTCACTCACTCACTCTTTCTTGTAGATATATGACTTATGTAGATTAAGAGCGACAAAAAGTTATCACTTTAATTTCCCCTTTATGTGGAGCAATATTCCAGTAGCTAAAGCCTTTGGTGCTGCTTAATTTCACAACTTTCGAAGATTTTAAACGCCGCTCTAAGCAGTATTCCAGCAATATCACGTCGGGGGACACCGGAAAATGGGCTTTACACATTGTACCCATATTCCGGGTTAGAATAGTCGCCAGCAACCTATGGTTGTCTCCCTGTAAAGATTCCGGGTTAGACTGAGTGAGTAAGTATGGTTTTACTCCTCTTTAAGCAATATTCAAGCAATATCACGTCGGGGGAGACCGGAAAATGGGCTTCACACATTGTACCCATGTGTGGAATGGAACCCGGCGTGACTAACACAACGCTTTAACCACTAGGCTACCCAACCGCGTCATATGTCGCTTGCTCCACAGTTGTTACAACAAAATGGCCTATGTAAAGCTTTCAAAACGTTTTATTGTAGACATGTGGAGGTCTCAAAAGCGACAAAATCATTTCAAAATAATGTCCAATGCAATTCCCTACTTGGAGACCCGTGAAGATTCCGGGTAGAATAGGTCTTCAGCAACCCATACTTGCCGTAAAGGGCGATTATGCTTGTCGTAAAAGGCGACTAACGGGATCGGGTTGTCAGGCTCGCTGACTTGGTTGATACATGTCATCGATCCCAATTGCGTGGATCGATGCTCATGATATTAATCACTGGATTGTCTGGTCCAGACTCGATTATTTACAGACCGCCGTCATATAGCTGGAATATTGCTGAGTGCGGCGTTAAACAACAAACCAACCAAACCAACCCTACTTGGAATTTACCATATGTTCTTTTTTCAGGTTAACTTGATTTGCATTTGCATGCGTTTGTGACAGAGGGGCAGGATGCGATGATGTCATTTCTATTTGATAGTGATTCATTAACACATCCTTATGATGTAGTCGCGATTTATTTAAATTCTCTTGATTATAGAATTGGATTTGTCGCACATATTGATATGTCATATATTATGAATTTGATAAACAGTATATTTCTGCTGTATGTAACTCATATGTACGCAATATAATTTTTATCAATCATGTCACATTTCCCCAAAGTTGCAGAAGAAATAGTATTTTTATTTGTCCTCACCTTACTGCTGCTACACTTTCAAAAACATTAAAAAAAAAATGCATTTGAATCGTAACAAAAACTCAGAGAACAAAGTGAGGCTCCGTTTGGTTTTTGCTTGTTCATGCATTTTTGTAAAACACACAAGGTTGGGAGCGAGATGAAAGGGGTTGGTTCAATAAACTGAGGACTAAGCATACTGTGCTTTTAGTAAGAAGGTTCGAAACGTCTTCTCAAATGAATTCTGGAGGGAGTCATAATCGATGAACTGTTTGATCCTTTCGTTCTTTTAAGTAAAATGGGGTTTAGCGTTGAGCATTGGATTATATCCTAATGATTATGCGTGCTTGCGTGCGTGTGTATAGTGCTGGCCCACTGAGATACCCTGCAGCAGTTAAAACTTTCATTACCCCCCCCCCCCCCCGGCGGTCTGTAAATAATCGAGTCGACAATCCAGTGATTGATATTTTGAGCAACGATCCACGCAATTGGGATCGATGACATGCATCAACCAAGATAGCGAGGCTCACCACCCGATCCCGTTGTTAATAATAATTGTTGTATCATTATTTGACAGTTCATTAACATTATCGATAAACAGAGATTATTAGCTGAGTGCTATCTTATAATGCTTGACGTTGGAGAGCATAACATCAACGTAAATTCTTACTATACGACATTTACGACACGGAAACACGAGGGTAAATGTTTTATCATATACATTGTAATGACCCTTTTAGGGTAATCGATGTTTAAATCATGTTTACATTCACCAAGTAACTTAAGAAATTTTGTTGGACAACAGGGCCTGCTGAACCTTCCAATTACGTCAGTTGTCCAAAAGATCGATAAGTCTCTCGGATTTATGACACTACTGCAGTGTCCATTACATGACAAAAATAGGACACCCCTTTTAGTCGTCTTTGGTTAACGTCTAAATAAAAAAAAAACAAATCAATAATTTGTCAAAGACACAGTGCGGTTCGTCTATTGCGACACTCAGGGATAAAGTTGATATAGGATTACCACATTGATCCCCTTTAGGGTTAGACGGCCTCCGTGTGTAATGAATAGAGCGTCTGCCCGTAGAGCGGAAAGTCGGTGGTTCGATCGCCGATAGCGTCATACCAAAAAACGTTAAATGATGGTACTTGTTGTTACCCTCCCTTGTGCTCGGCATTAAAACAAGGACGTCGGCCCGGAGGCGATAGTCCGGACTAGCACACGCACGCACTCACGCACTCACTCACTCACTCACTCACTCACTCACGTTGCTATGTACGTGCACTAAGGTTAAACGCGACGTCAAACTCTTTACACCTCAGCTCACCACTATGCCGCTTACCTCTGCGACGCTGAACTCCGTATTGCTGAGAACGCCCGTGTTTGCCAGGAAGAAGGACAAGTCTATGGATCTCAGTTTCCCTGCAATATTCAAGCAAATTAATATGAGTTGATTGGTCGAAGAGTGAACTGGTGAATGTTTTTAGTCGGCAGTTAATTGCTGAAGGTTTTTAATTGGTAGTCAACTGTATCCTAGTCATGTCAATGCGATTTGTAAATAGTCGAGTCTTGTTCAGACAAACCAGTGGTTGACTTTATAAGCAACGCTGCACACACTCCCACACAGTCAGATATTATAGAAGTCGTGGTTACTTCATAGTAACTCTAATCAAACCAACGTGAGCAGACAGGCGAGTGGGTAGCTTAGTGGTTAAGAGTTTGCTCATCACGCCAGAGATCCGGGTTCGTATCCCCACATGGCTACAATGTGTGAAATCTATTTCTGGTGTTCCCAGCGAAGGATATTGCTAAAGATGGCATTAAACCATACTCCCTCAAATCAGATTAGCGTATAGTCATGAAGGCATCTATTTTCCCCGCCCATTTTAACACGTTATTGTCCCAAAAGCAGGTAATTGACCCAACATTTCTCTTAGCCCATGTCAAAATAGCTGCAATGGAAATTCTAAAATAAACATTTCTAAAACTCCTTAATATCAAATGGCACCAGTTCAGTATGCGCTTTATATATATATAGACATGCAATGTTTGGCAAGGAATTATTTTACAGTTTGTTTTTATACTCCATAAGTGAACCCAACCTAAATCCAACTTGTTGTCATGGAAACATAAACAATAACAAATTCTAAAATTCCTAAATAGCAAAAGGCACCAGTTCAGTAGGTGTCTGGTATACATGCAAAGTTTTGTTAGAAAGTATGGAATGGGTTTTGAGTTATGCTCAGGAAAGGAACTCTACCCTATAGAAGTCCAACTTGTTGCCATGGAAACATAAAAAATAAATAAAATAAAAAATTCCTAAATAGCAAAAGGCACCAGTTCAGCATGTAGGCATGTAAAGTTATGCTCCGGAAACGATTTCGGGACGCACGCACACACGCACGGACGCACGGGGCCGGGGATAAAAACAGTGTATGCGTTGACGATTAGGTTGACTTGTGGACAGAGCGTCTGCATGGAGAGCGAAAGATTGGTGATTCGATCCACGGCCGCGTCATACCAAAAGGCGTAAAAAGATCTTACTTGTTGTTACCCTGCCTGGCGATCGGCATTATGGGACAAAACGGACTGGTCGGCTTGAGGTCAGTACACTGTGTCTGAGAAGGGGATCCATGTTAAACTGCGGCATGATATCACAGTTAGCTGGGCCTATAAAACTGGGGGACACAGTAAGGTCTTCTACAAGCGTATCTGGTATCTCAGAGGCATTGGTCCGGACTTGCGCGTACAGACAGACAGACAAATATCTTATTAAAGTCTCACCACAACATTTGACACACAAAATTATACACATTCATTCTGAAAAATAAGTCGAGCCATTCCACACGTGCAGGTACGCTGCCATATGAGTGCAATAATCTTGACGCGACCTAAAAGCCACATTTCCCCTACCCTTTTATAGCAAGCGGATATCTTTGATAGGCATTTAGAAGTTGGGATATCATGAATACATGACACTTTTTTATGGATAGCAACTTTTTTTATTCTTTGTACGACGTTTCAGAGTTACTTCTTGCGCCAAGATCCTTAGAATAGGTCTTCAGCAACCCATGTTTGTCGTAAATGGCGACAATGCTTGTCGTAAGAGGCGACTAACGGGATAGGGTGGTCAGGCTCGCTGACTTGGTTGATGCATGTCATCGTATCCCAGTTGCGTGGATGATGAAATTTATGTCAATCACTGGATAATCTGGTCCAAAGTGTTTGACGTCATGAGCATCGATCAACGATAGAAGGCCAACTTAAGTTTTACATGGTTTCGAACTCAGTTCGAGTCAAAACCTGAACTCAGTTATTTTCGAGAAATGCATTTTGCAGACTCGATTATTTACAGACCTCCGTCTTATAACTTGAATAATGCTGAGTGTGGTGTTAAGCAACAAACAAAGAAAAACAAAACGTGCTACTTCATCAGGTGGAAATAAAAAAGCGTCATGTATTCAGACGAACAGACAGTCATGATTATCCACCGGACAAAATAGTGTGAAAATAATTTACACCGACACAATACCCATAAATACACCACCTTTAATGTGACTTTAAGGAAAATGTACATAAATACCTAAGTAATGAGTTTCTAAGTTGAAATAATCGATGACCTATACACAGGAGGCTATAATAATAGTTCCGCTAATGGGTTTTCCCTGATAATTTACAGCCACAGCAAAAGGTTAATGTCACTGGTTCCGGTCACGTGAGCTGTCCTTCAATCAAGTTGACTACTAGTCTTGTGCACCGCAGAGCACTCAAGTCTGGGACATTATAAAATTGGTATCTATCTGAGCTGCCCCCAACACCCAGAGAATTAATTATTTCACAACTCCGAGAAATCGAGGGACAGCACAGAAAGATGAACTGCAAATTAAATTATATCCCAGATTCTAGTGCTCTGTGGTATATAAGATAAGTAGTCAATGGTCTTACAAGACCCGCGAAGATCCGGGATACAATAGGTCTTCAGCAACCCATGCTTGCCGTAAAAGGCGACTAACGGGATCGGTAGGTCAGGCTCGCTGAAGTGGTTGATGCATGTCATCGCATACCAATTGCCTGGATCGATGCACATGATATCAATTACTGAATTGTCTGGTCCAGACTCGATTATTTACAGACCGCCGTCATATAGCTGGAATATTGCTGAGTGCGGCGTTAAACAACAACCAATATCTCTAAATTACAAATATCTTATTTCCCAAAATGTATTCAACAGTATTAAAATTAACAAAGGAATTTTAACAACATAACATGCACGTTATTTTCGTCACTTCTTTAGCAGTAAAAAATCACACTTTCCCCTTATCTGACACGAAATAGAGCCACTGCTGTTAAATCAGACAAAAACACCTTCACTAAAGTATTCATGGAGTACTGAAATATAATTGCTGTCACCGTTGATATCTGTGATCTAAATTTAATCCGCCATATCAAAGACGACACACAGAATCCTCCTGTATGTCAACTGCAATGTTTCTCACTATTTTTGTTATCTGAAGAAACTACTATCAGTAAAATAAAACATTTTACTTTTGATCCTACTATTAGTGACGACTTAACATCCTTTGAACAGTATTTTTGTGTTGAATAATCGAAACGTACTTTTTACCAATCAGGATGTAGCCGACATTGCAACATTAACAAGAGTAGTTGCTTGTGTTTTACACAGATGGATTCTATGTTTATCATGTCCGTCAGCCGTAAGACCGACTCACAACGAAACTAAGCAAATAGCTTTGGTGTGCGATATAGACTGAGGGGTCAAAGATTTTCAAAGAAGATTGGGATAACAGAATTTTCTAAAATCAGATGTCAAAGATACAAATTTTAATTCAAATTATATTTGTTTAAAATAAAACCACGCACAAGTATCCTTTAAGTACTGGATAAGCGCCAGTACAGTTCATTTTTTTTATATTACATCGCTAACATAAGATGTTTCAATTGAAAATCAACATCTGATTCAATCAACTAAGAGGTATGATATATTGCTGCCCCTCCGTTTATGTTTTAACTATTCATTTTTGTGTGAACATATGACAAAAAGCTTTATCTTCCTAACATGTATTAATCTGATGCTTTGAGCATGAGGCTCGTGAAGATCCGGGGAAGAATTGGTCTTCAGCTGGAATATTGCTGAGTGCGGCGTTAAACAACAAACAAACAAACAAACAATGATTTCACAAAGATAAAACGTCAAAGGCTGTGAACAATCATCCGTCGAAACAGATCCCACCTGACGTAAATGGCAAAATAGGGGTAATAATTATATGAATGGATCGCTGAAAATCAGTTATGACACCCGGTGTTCGCGAAAATAGTAAGCATGTACTAGAGGATTAGAGTTTAGGACACTATATACATGAAGTCTTAAGATGTATGTCTTTACATCCATCTGTTACCTACCATCGAGCTCTTGGACGATGTAACCATTTTTCCCGATGCCAAGGATGTCCGCCACATTCAGCTCATCCTACAATCAGAAACAAAAACGCATTCAGCTTGTTAGTGAGTGAGTGTGATGTGTTCAACGAACTTTGAACAGCATTCCAGTTATATCATGGCATGTCAGCTTAATTTTGGAGGAAGGCCCGACGTGATGCAGGTATCGGACGTTTACCAGTTCGGCGAAACCCACGATCACGGGTATGGTGCGGACAAACCTAGAAACAATCGGGGCTAACATGGAATCGAACCCAAGAAGATATTTTTCCGACGTGCATAGACGCCTTCGATGACAGGGCAGCCCGTGTCCCCCTTAGACCGATACACTGCACGTCATATGTCATCCCACATCAACATCACCTCCCTCAGATGTGTGTCATGTTTGCGACTGCCGAAATGAGCGTGTTTTTTGTTTCACCTCAGAAATTTGATTTCAGCAAGATCACAGTACCAATTAGTTTTTAACCTTGAAATATACTTACAGCATTAAAAACGCAATAGTGTTATAACGATAATATCACGAACCTGGAACCCGTTAAGATTCCGGGGTAGAATAGGTCCTCAGCAACCCATGCTTGCCGTAAAAGGTGACTATGCTTGTCGTAAAAGGCGACTAACGGGATCGGGTGGTCAGGCTCGCTGACTTGGTTGATGCATGTCATCGATCCCAATTGTGTGGATCGATGCTCATGATGTCAATCACTGGATGGTCTGGTCCAGACTCGATTATTTACAGACCGCCGTCATATAGCTGCAATATTGCTGAGTGCGGCGTTAAACAACAAACAAACAAACAAAAACGAACCTGGTCCGATTTATTTAATATGTTTTTTTTGTAATTATCTGATTTGAGTCTTTAATGCTGTTTAGTATATGCAAAGTCTGCTTCCGGAGTTCACTCCACACTCAGCAATACTCCAGCCATACCAGGTGGTTTCGTGGTTGCCAGGCCACGTTAGCTTCACTGACACATACTGAATAGTGAGTGAGTGAGTTGGGTTTAACGCCGCTTTTAACAGTATTCCAGTTAAATCGAGGCGTGTCAGCTTAATGTGGGAGGAAAGCCCGAAGTGATGCAGGTCTCAGACGTTTACCACTTCGGTGAAACCCACGAGCACGGGTATGGTACTGACAAACCTAGAAACATAATCGGGGCGAACCGGGATTCGAACCCACAATCATACGTTTCTGGCGTGCCCAAGGGACGCAACTCTGCACAGCGAATCGCGGCGCCTTAGACGACTGGGCCACCCGTGCCCCCACATATTGAATATGTCTCACCGGGAAAGTGCTAAGTGGTCATGGCGCTTTATGGCTGAGATAATTGTTTAAAATTAAGTATTAAACGTCAACAGTCTCGATTAACCATCTAAACAGATTCATTGTGCTTTAAAGGCAAATAACGGTAAAAAAAATATAGTTGTGGATAACGGAAAACCAATGATGACGCAAGTTTTTCGCGAAACGGGCGAGCACGTCCTGGCCTACCAGTAGCATCCACCCACCACACAATTTGCACACATTAGTCTGTGTTTGTTAGGAACCTGACGCCGCACAGCGGTGTTCCTGCCAGGCGACGGTGGTTGGAAACAACGAACCAACCAATCAAGTGTTCGACCTGATTGAATCTGAAAACTGAGACACACAGTCGCTGAACGAAGCTTATGTTCTGGTAACACGCTGAGCATAATATTTTACGACAACTTCACTTGGGCACATTGGCACCAAATCAACGCTTTGCTTTCGGGATAAACCGACGTCATGGCTCCACCAAAATACTTTCTCAACTAAACGAGACGATCTACTGAATAAGGTGAATGGTTTTCTACACAACTCCTCTTTTATTCGTTACCTTTGGCTTGCCGATCTTCGAGTTGGTCACAGTTACCGATGATCTGAAAGTATAACAGTATTTTGGTCATAACACAACCGCCATTGCCCCCTCTTTGATACGCTGGGGTTTAGGGAGCGCCCTCTGTTTGTGTGTGTGTGTGTGTGTGTGTGTGTGTGTGTGTGTGTGTGTGTGCTAGTCCGGAATAGAGCCTCTGAGATACAAGTTTTAACAAGGACTCAAAGCCGACGTCCTTGTTTTAATGCCGAACACAAGGCAGGGGAACAACAAGTTGGTTGGTTGGTTGATTTGTTCTTTAATGCCGCACTCAGCAGTATTCAGAAACAGAAAATGTTCTTGTTTGCTGTGTCTTCCATATTTTAATCAAATTGATTTAAGATAACAAATATCGGGAAATATCGTTAAGAATTCTAAAAAGTTCTGGGGGCAGTCGTCTGAGGCGCCGCGATTCGCTGTGCAGAGTTGCGTCCCTTGGGCACGCCAGAAACCTATTATTGTGGGTTGGAGTCCCGGGTCGCCCCGATTATGTTTCTAGGTTTGTCCGCACCATACCCGTGCTCGTGGGTTTCACCGAAGTGGTAAACGTCTTAGACCTGCATCACTTCGGGCTTTCCTCCCACATTAAGCTGACACGCCGTGATATAACTGGATAATGTTAAAAGCGGCATTAAACCCAACTCACTCACTCACTCTAAAAGGATCTCCTCAACCAAAGTGAGCCACGAGTGTGATACATCTCTCAGATCGCGACCAGTATCCCGGCGGGGTTCCAAAGGGTCGCTGTTACGCCATGCTAGGTCGATGGGGGGGGGGGGAGCTTTGATTATCTACAGGCTATCAGGCCATAGTTGTTGTATTTAGTGCTACGTTGGAGAGCATAGCACCAACGTCAATTCCTAAACGACATTTACGACACGGAAACACGAGGGTAAATGTTTTATCATATACATTGTAATGACTCTATTAGGATAATCGATGTTTAAATTCACCAATTTACTTCAGAAATTTTGTAGGACAACAGTGCCTGCTGAACCTTCCAATTTCGTAAATTATCCAAAAGATCGATAAGTCTCTCGGATTTATGACACTACTGCAGTGTCCATTACATGACAAAAATAGGACATCCCTTTTACTCGTCTTTGGTTAACGTCTCAAATCTAGAAAAAAAACAAATCAATAATTTGTCAAAGACACAGCGCAGTTCATCTGTGGCGACACTCTTCCTGCCCAGGGATAAAGTTGATATAAGATTACCACATTGATCCCCTTTAGGATTAGACGGCCTCCGTGTGTAATGAATAGAGCGTCTGACCGTAGAGCGGAAGGTCGGTGGTTCGATCGCCGGCAGCGTCATACCAACGACGTTAAAAAGTGGTACTGGTACTTATAGAATAGGTCTTCAGCAACCCATGCTTGCCGTAAAAGGCGACTATGCTTGTCGTAAAAGGCGACTAACGGGATAGGGTGGTCAGGCTCGCTGACTTGGTTGATGCATGTCATCGATCCCAATTGCGTGGATCGATGCTAATGATATTAATCACTGGATTGTCTGGTCCAGACTCGATTATTTACAGACCGCCGTCATACAGCTGGAGTATTGCTGAGTGCGGCGTTAAACAACAACCAACCAACCAACCTATTCTACCCCAGATCTTCAGGGTTTTAATCTGTTTTTGCAGGCTGACGTCATGGTGCTGGACCCCGATGTCTGCGAGGTTCAAACAACAAATACACATACCTGAAATCTGCCACTCCCAGGTAAAACAGTCTGTCGTTAAAGGCCACTTTGATTGACATATCCAGCTCCTGAAAGAGTAAAATGTGTTTGGAGTGAGTGAGTTCGGTTTAACGCCGCTTTTATCAGTATTCCAGTTATATCGCGGCGTGTCAGCTTAATGTGGGAGGAAAGCCCGAAGTGATGCAGGTCTCAGACGTTCACCACTTCGGTGAAACCCACGAGCACGGGTATGCTGCTGACAAACCTAGAAACATAATCGGGGCGAACCGGGATTCGAACCCACAATAATAGGTTTCTGGCGTGCCCAAGGGACGCAACTCATCACAGCGAATCGCGGCGCCTTAGACGACTTGGCCACCCGTGCCCCCTAATTTGTTTGGAATAAGCACGACACGATAGATATAAAACATAAGGAATTTTGCGAAAAAACACTTGACTAATTCATTTCTTCATCTCATCTTACTGTTATGTCAAGGATGTCTAGGCGAATATCTAAAACGAACATTTGGATATATCACCATGGTCAATGATACTGAATACAGCGGAAGTTGAGTTGAAAACAGAAGGTTCACTGTCGAGAAACGTGACCGTTGACGTCACCACGGTTCCTGCTGTAGGGGACTCTGCTATAAATAGATGATGGATTGAGCTCGTGGGATGTGATACTCATTACAGCTGATGCCCGTCGTTGCACTAAATGACTCATTGTTGTCGAAGTGTACCATCCTAGAGTCCCCCGTATATGTTTTGTTTGGTTTGTTTGTTGTTTAACGTGAGTGAGTGAGTTATTATTTAAAGTCACATCGGCAATATTTCAGCCATATCGTGACTTGAACAAGCTATAGCATATATAAAAAAACTGTCGTACAACAGGACAGTACAACAACTAGCAATATATCACAGATTATAACTTATTATTATAACAATAAAATGTTGGATTATAACAGACAACACATCATAAAAACAGGCTATTGATCACCAACAACTAAAGTTAGGCCACCATACCAGGGACCATGGGGACTTACAGTACCTTTGCTACCTGCATGGACCCCGGCAGGATTTACACCATCCCTTCAGTTATTGGTGATTATGGAGAAATTTAGCCAAAATTAAAACAAACAATTATTCTACGATTAAAAAAACCTGGTATATATGAATTACTTTGAATGAAGGGGGCTTACGCACCCTCTCTGGGGGACAATAATTTTAAGCTACTACAACCCCCATCAAGGGTACAACCACAAACAATCTCAGTTCATATAGTATATGGTGTCAGCACCATTCCCGTGCTCGTGGGTTTCACCGAAGTGGTAAACGTCTGAAACCTGCATCACTTTGGGCTTTCCTCCCACATTAAGCTGACACGCCGCGATATAACTGTAATACAGTTAAAAGATGCGTTAAACCCAACCCACTCACTCACTCTTATGAATACGGAACGGGTTTTGTCCCTTCACAAGGTAGAGTGAGTCGTGAACCTTAATAGAACCTTAGATAAGACTGATAATGTGGACTGGGTATTGTCTGGCGTGGACGTATCATGCTCATCAAAGCAATTCCTACCACTTTCAGGGAGAAGAGGACGTGGTCACCACAGGTAGACGTGACTGTGTAATTCATCGTTGCTGCGACAGATCTGAATATGCCATCTTTCTCCAGTCTCATGGGGCCTGTTGGGCCATCGATCGTGAAGGCACCCGCGTAGCCGGTTTCTCCCTGTAGGATGGACCCTGCCTGTTGAACAATGATAGGTGGTCATGTTTGTATGTTGTTTAACCCGCACGCAGCAATTTTCCACAGCGACCTGTAAATATCTAGTGTGGACAAGACAAACCAGTGATATATATATATAAGCAAATATAACATTTTACTGTGTATTAAGGGGGCAGGGGTGGCCTAGTGGGTACATCATTTGCTCATCCTGCCAAAGACCGTGGTTCCATTCCCCATATGGAAACAATACAATATGCGTGTTATTGCTGAATTATACTGAACTCATTTACTCACTTATTGCGTAGTTTGGCCAAAAAGAATTAAAAGCTGTTATTATATATAAGTTAGATATGAACCTAGAAGTGAAATATTATTGAGTGCGGCGTTAAACAACCCACAAAAAAACAAATCCTTCCCTTCAAACAAACTCCTGTTAATCTGTAATCGAGAACGAACATAACCATTTCATCATTACAGACAAACACCAAGACTGTCAGGTAGTCTAAGAATTTAAACCTTAGTGTTGATCATGTATCAGACTCCTTGTTTAAAGTCCACCGTACCTGGAATAAAACTGGGCGTGCCACAAAACCACCATCAGTCAGCCAATTACATAAGTTTAGACCTACCTCTTCGAAATAGGATCCCAGATTCCGAATGTTGAACCGGAAGTTGCTTATTTCAATAAACTGCAATATAATAGGAATTATCAAGTGAAACGCATACAATAAACATCCTCCGATAAGATCCGGGGTAGAACCGGTCTTCAGCAACCCATGCTTGTCTGCCTTCGTGATCCGGGATAGAACTGATCTTCAGCTAATCATGCTTTTCCCAGCACACACCCCTTCTATCCAGCGTATAGCGTAAAACAGATGATAAAAAACGACAGGTGAAATCGCCCTCCAAACTAACAAATCTGAAGGGATTCCCCTTACTGGAGTCATAACGGGTTCCCAATGGTTGACGCGCTGCGCAATTTCAACGATCGTGCCGGCGCCAAGTTTGCTTGACAGTCTTCCTACCTCTCCAGCATCTATTGTTGTGGGTACAAAGTCACCTCAGCTGATGATACGTAACACAATAGGGGCACATCCCATATGACACAGCTAATAAGTGAGTATCTCACAAAATATAACGACACTACTAATTTGTGAACTACCTTTATACACACTATGCTGAGTGAAAACCTTTTAACAGACTTTGAGTGAGGGACAAACTGTATCAACGCTAGAGCTTGTGACGCCGTTCATACAATGTTTGGTCCTCACTATGTTTACAGACCGCCGTCATATACTGGAATATTGGTGAGTACGACGTTAAACAACAAACAAACAAACTTGTTTATCAAGTACTAAAGAGAAAATGGATGTTGATATCTTCTGAAGGTATCCCAACGTGTCATATTTGTGGGGTGCTTCAATCACTTATCAGAGGGTATTCTACGATATTATAGCAATCGCGTCAAACGTTGTTACACTATTTTAGTCAAGTTAACTTTACATAGAATTGCGATTATGTGCTAAGAACGTCATATGTCCTGGAGTCGGGGATTGCAATATTCCAGCTGTATACCGCGGCCTGTGCATGACATGCAGGCAACAGTGACAGAGACCATATGTTTTGTTTTGTTAGTTTGTTTGTTGTTTAACGTCGCACTCAGCAATATTCCAGCCATATGATGGCGGCATGTAACTAATCGAGTCTGGCTCAGACAATCCAGTGATGGACATCATGAGCATCGATCCATGCAATTGGGATACGATGACATGTATCAACCAAGTCACCGAGCCTGACCACCCGATCCCGTTAGTCGCCTCTTACGACAAGCATAGTCGCCTTTTACGGCAAGCATGGGTTGCTGAAGATCTATTCTACCCGGGATCTTCACGGGTGCCTAGACTGAACACCCGATACATTTTGATCCAACACGGGTTGAGTGGGACCAGGCTGCGATTTCTCGAACAAACTAAAGTTAAAAAAATGACCTATGTCTGAGTTTTACTCAAATTTGAGAAAACTCAGTAAAACGCATTTCTCAAACAAACCTGAGTCTTTTCACTCGAACTGAGTTCAAAAGCATGTAAAACTTAAGGTGGCCTACTTGGTAACTTAACTTTTCATTCGGAGAAAAATGGCGATTGCTAATATACGTGTGCGGAGATACAAGTCGGACGAAGATTTATTCCTCAGATGTAGGTTTCGGGCGGAAATGATTCTTTACATCTTGTCACTGGTGTCCAACTGACTGCGAAGACCCACTCAACGGAACAGCCCAATAACACCCTTAACATAGGTACTTGTTGAGTATGAGATTTGGGTAAAAACGTAAGTTTGTTTCGAGAAATCGGGGCCAGTTTTGACCCGAAATCCCCACGGCTGAAGACGACAAGCATGCGTTACTTAGTGCCAAGTCTACTCCGGGATAAACACAAGGTAAAGATGCCCATGAAACGAAACATCCACCCAAATACTAAAGAGGACAAAGAATGTAAAACTCACTACATTACTGCTTCTTATACATATGTGACATGCAATTACTTACCCTCGTTTGCAGGACATCGCCAACCACGTTACCAATAACGTCAAGCAGGAAGTCATATGGGTAGAAGACTGTTAGCATCGAACTCGTGCCATCACCAGCTTCCGGTAACAAGTTCAGACGTGATGCCAGATGCGAGGGAGCCTGGGTCAAATAACGAGTCTTCAGTGTTATAAAGTACATTACAACAAATGTGGGTGTATCAAGCATTTTCGTCAACTAGTAATATGATATAAATTATCACTATCAGCTTTAATGCCTAAGTTTGTTGTTTAACGCCGCCGCACTTAGGAATATTAAAGCTATATGACGGCGGTCTGTAAGTAATCGAGTCTAGGCCAGACAATCCAGTCATTGACAACATTGATTGAGCATCCGGGGTAGAATAGGTCGAAAGCAACCCATGCTTGCCGTAAAAGGCGACTAACGGGATCGGGTAGTCAGGCTCGCTGACTTGGTTGATGCATGTCATCGATCCCAATTGCGTGGATCGATGCTCATGATGTCAATCACTGGATTGTCTGGTCCAGACTCGATTATGTACAGACCGCCGTCATATAGCTGGAATATTGCTTAGTGCGGCGTAAAACAACCAACCAACCAACCAACAGTGTTACCTTATATCCTATGTACAGATGACTGTTCCTCATCTCCAGGGCATACGGAACCATGATGCTTTCTAGTGTCATCTCAATTCCAGACTTTTCTAGGAACATGCACAACAAATAGAATCAGTGAATCTCGGTTTACAAAGGCGTGTACTTGGTTTCAGGATACGCTGACCCAACACTTCACAATCGTGGAAAAAAATCAAATTTAACTTTTTCTTCCAGCCGATTCTGTTAATTAATTCAATAGTCCCTCAAATAAAACAAAAACACTTGTCATCTCGGGTGTTTTTTGTTTTTTTAACCGAATAGCTATTATTTTATAGCTTCACAATCCATGTTAAACTTCGTCATGGTATCTCAGTTGGCTAGCACTATACATCCGGCACGTGCATACACGTCGCTCTATTAGTGAAAAATGTTCTTCAACCAGATGTTAAACCTCATTTCACCGCACCTTCAATGAGTCACGGCGTCTATGCATACATAGTTTCAGCGTTCTAGTGCATCGCCTGATTTGTGCTTTCGTATCACTTGATTTGCGGATGTTTCTCCTGTAACCTTTGGCCAGTGGTTGATTTTTTAATTAAAAACCAAATTACAGCATTCTGCTTTCGTATCACTTGATTTGCGGATGTTTCTCCTGTAATCTTTGGCCAGTGGTTGATTTTTTAATGAAAAACCAAATTACAGCATTCTGATAAACAGTATGCCAAGCATTCACATTTGATAGTAATCGTAACAGTCTAAAATATAATACAAACCTTTCACCCCAAACATGAACAGAGGGTTTCTTGAGTGAAGTCGCGTTATTCCGCTGCATATCTGAAATACAGCACTTCGTTGGTATTCATTTTATAGCATTTAATATATGTCGAACGAGCTTCGAGAAGCAAATGTCAAAACTTATATTACTTGAAAGTTTACAAAACAGATCTATTGTTTATATGATTAGACTACTTTTGTTTCCTTGTGTAACATACATACATCGTTGTACATATGGAATCGATTGGGTGTCTTTCGTTGTTACGCCGCAGTGTGTGTGTGTGTGTGTGTGTGTGTGTGTGTGTGTGTGTGTGTTTGTGTGTGTGTGTGTGTTGGTTGGTTGTGGTACGCCGCACTCAGCAATATTCCAGCTATATGACAGCGGCCTGTAAATAATCAAGTCACGACGAGACAATCAAGTGATTGATATTGTGATCGCCGATCCATTTAGTCGCCTCTTACATCAACCATAGGTTGCTGGGGACCTGTATTAATAAGTACTTGGAATATGAACACACTGTCCTGACCACGAGATGCTGAAAATAAGAGTCAGTCAGTGAAAGGTAACAGATTATAAGTGTGTAAACTGAATATCAATCCAACCGCTGCAGTCGGCATCCTAGCGAATTGCTGCTGAAGCACTCCCACGAAAGACTGCAGACGTTGATCACTGAGGATGATGCGGTCGATGATGAAACTGAAGCCACACGATGTTGCTCTCAACAGTGTATCTTTGTCTAAACAGAAACAAATAACTATTGATTGCCCATATATCTGATAGTAGTCATTGTCAGTCCACGAGGCCAAAAACCCAAAACAAAAAACTGTTTCTCATCGCTTCCAGATTTAGAAGATGGCAAGACGCAAGGCTATTTCTGTTTAAACCCCATATTTGAGTACATGGCCTCGTTTTCAAACAGCGAATAACAGATGACAACTAGAGACACTAAAACAAGAGTCTATGTTTAATTCCAACAAGGAAAGATAACTCTGTCTGAACACTACAATCTAAAATACGGACAATTTGGAACGCCTGACCGGGGAAAGAAAACATTGACCAACTATGTTTAAATTGTTTGTTTGTTTGTTGTTACGCCGTTGTTATGCGGCGGTCTGTAAATAATTGAGTTTGGACCAGACAATCCAGTGATTGACGTCATGAGCATCGATGCACGCAATTGGGATACGATGACATGCATCAACCAAGTCAGCGAACCTGACCACCCGATCCCGTTAGTCGCCTCTTACGACAAGCAAAGTCGCCTTTTACGGCAAGCATAGGTTGCTTTCGACCTATTCTACCCCGGATCTTCACGGATTCTATTTGTAAGAAAATCAGTGATGTTAAAAGATCTTAACTTGGAAGATGGTTCGTATTCTTCAAAAATGGGGGCGATCGGGTAGCCTAGTGGTTAAAGCGTTCGCTCGTCACGCCGAAGACCCGGGTTCGATTCCCGACATGGGTTCATTGTGTGAAGCCCATTTCTGGTGTCCCCCACCGTGATATTACTGGAATATTGCTAAAAGCGGCGTAAAACTATACTCACTCACTCACTTCCAAAATGACCTCCCTTTCAAAAACTCATCTGGTTTCCTGGCCTTATGTTTGGCCTCGGCGAGCTGGCTGTTGTAGCTTCAGCTAGCGAGCGCAACAGAGGCATGGGGCTCGCTGCATGAAAATCCAAATTGGAATTCCATCGGCTGATCCGATAGTTACGTAAATGTTATCAAGTCGAGAAGACAGTGTACACGTTTCAAAGTTCCGGATGTAGGTCTTGTTGGATTTGTTTTCTGATTGGCTGAAGTGTTAATCTATTAAGCTGTCAAATGTCGCGTATTTCTAAACATCGTAATCCCGGTTTAACTTGACCGACATGGCTGGTTCCCCAATATAAAAAAAAATCAACCGAAAATATTAGCGTTAATAATCTAAAAACACAAGCGGAGGACAAAACATATAAAACGGACATATTGGTTGCGATATTCTGTTAGGTGAGTTCGAGTGGCTGATCAGTGATGGTGAAACTTGCTTTTGTGTGTCGCGTGTGTAGACAACCCCTATACATGTACTTGGCGATTATACCTCTGTCTTACACATCAGTCAGAAAAAAAAGGATGAAAGTATGTTTTCACTTTTGGTCAACGCTGAATTTCCTATTTAGATATAGTAATGTTTAAACCGTTAATGTCCTCTTACGTTTAGACCTGGAAATGAGAATCTATAAATCAAGCATTGAAAAGGACAGCATTATGTACACTAATAAAGCTCTTTATCGCTCCAGAAAGTAAATACTCGTACATTGTAATCATTATGTTTCATAAGTACTATGCAGTGAAACATATTTACTGAAACATTCCTTGTATATGTACTATGTAGTGATACTTATACACTGAAACAATCCTACATATTTTATTTAGTATAATTCCCATGAAAGATAAAAAGAAATTTTAAAAAATAATAAAAAATGTGAAATTGTAAGTTATCAGAAATTAATTACAGATATTGTTTTTATTTTTTCCAATAACAGATGAGTGGGTGAGTGAGTTTGGTTTTAACGCAGTTTTTAACAGTATTCCAGTTATATCACGGCGTGTCAGCTTAATGTGGGGATAAGCCAGAACAGATGCAGGTCTCTGACGTTTACCACTTTGGTGAAACCCACGAGCACGGGTGTGGAAACAACCGGGACAAACTGGGATTCGAACCTACATAGATAAGTTTCTGGCTTGCCAAAGGAATGCATCTCTGCACAGCAAATTGCAGTGTCTTTGACGACTGGGCCACCCGTGTTGCTTCAGTTAATAATTTATTTTTTACATAAATCTTTCTTCTTTTCTCTGGGGGCAAGTTGAAATTCAGACAGGGTAATAAAATTTAAATGTACACCCTATTTGAACCCCCTGCTAATTATAAAGTCGGAATCGTACAAAGAACTCGTACAATGCCGTTTCTTGTGATTATGGAAATGGATTTGTAGCATCGAAGGAACCATCATCCATAAATCCAAGTGTTGAAGAAACCGTCACCTTACCTATGATGTACTTGAGGAACAGGGTAGAATCTTTCAGGAGGATCCGCGAGTCAATCCGAAACTTTAATCTGAAATATACGTATACATGTAATCCCTGAATAGAGTATTGTTTTTATTCAGCTGTCATTCTTTCAACGCGTATGGGGACCCCCGACCAACATAGATGTCTCGGGACCCCCGACCAGCATAGATGTGTGGGGACCCCCGACCAGCATAGATGTCTGGGGACTCCCGACCAGCATAGATGTCTGGGGACTCCCGACCAGCATAGATGTCTGGGGACCCCCGAACAGCATATATATATCTGGGGACCCCCGACCAGCATAGATGTGTGGGGACCCCCGACCAACATAGATGTGTGGGGACCCCCGACCAACATAGATGTCTGGGGACCCCCGACCAACATAGATGTCTGGGGACCCCCGACCAACATAGATGTCTGGGGACCCCTGACCAACATAGATGTCTGGGGACCCCCGACCAATAAGATATATGGGGTCCCCGAAACAGCATAGATGTCTGGGGACTCCCGACCAGCATAGAAGTCTGGGGACTCCCGACCAGCATAGATGTCTGGGGACCCCCGAACAGCATATATATATCTGGGGACCCCCGACCAGCATAGATGTGTGGGGACCCCCGACCAACATATATATCTGGGGACCTCCGACCAGCATAGATATCTGGGGACCTCCGACCAACATAGATGTGTGGGGACCCCCGACCAACATAGATGTCTTGGGACCCCGACCAGCATAGATGTCTGGGGACCCCCGACCAACATAGATGTGTGGGGACCCCCGACCAACATAGATGTGTGGGGACCCCCGACCAACATAGATGTGTGGGGACCCCCGACCAACATAGATGTGTGGGGACCCCGACCAGCATAGATGTCTGGGGACCCCCGACCAACACAGATGTCTGGGGACCCCCGACCAACATAGATGTGTGGGGACCCCCGACCAACATAGATGTGTGGAGACCCCCGACCAACATAGATGTGTGGGGACCCCCGACCAACATAGATGTGTGGGGACCCCGACCAACATAGATGTGTGGGGACCCCCGACCAACATAGATGTGTGGGGACCCCCGACCAACATAGATGTGTGGGGACCCCGACCAGCATAGATGTCCGGGGACCCCCGACCAACACAGATGTCTGGGGACCCCTGACCAACATAGATGTGTGGGGACCCCCGACCAACATAGATGTGTGGGGACCCCCGACCAGCATAGATGTCTGGGGACCCCCGACCAACACAGATGTCTCGGGACCCCCGACCAGCATATATATCTGGGGTCCCCGACCAACATAGATGTCTGGGGACCCCCGACCAGCATAGATGTCTCGGGACCCCCGACCAACATATATATCTGGGGACCCCGACCAACATAGATGTCTGGGGACCCCCGACCAGCATAGATGTCTGGGGACCCCCGACCAACATAGATGTCTGGGGACCCCCGACCAACATAGATGTATGGGGTCCCCGACCAACATAGATGTCTGGGGACCCCCGACCAACATAGATGTCTGGGGATCCCCGACCAGCATAGATGTCTCGGGACCCCCGACCAACATAGATGTCTGGGGACCCCCGACCAACATAGATGTGTGGGGACCCCCGACCAGCATAGATGTCTCGGGACACCCGACCAGCATAGATGTCTCGGGACCCCCGACCAACATAGATGTCTGGGGAACCCCGACCAGCATAGATGTCTCGGGACCCCCGACCAGCATATATGTCTGGGGACCTCTTCCTAGCATAAATGTCAGGGACCACTGACCAGCATAGATCGGGAGATACCCTGATATCTATGCTTGGACGTCCCAGACATCTATGCAGGTCGGGTATCCCCGGACATCTGTGGTAGTCTTTTTTGCTGTGTTTTTCTTTGTTTGTTGTTTAGCGCCGCACTATTTTAGCTATATGACGGGACCAGACAATCAAGTGGTTGACATCATGAGCACCGATCCACGCAATTAGGATACGATGACATGCATCAACCAAGTCAGTGAGCTTGACCAACCGATCCCGTTTGTCGCATTTACGGCAGGCATTGGTTGCTGAAGACCTATTCTAACCCGGATCTTGAAGTGAATGTTCAGTATAATTATAGATATATTACCACAAACATATTATTTCTGCGAAAAAAAACGTTTCCTTATGACAGGTATAATTAAATGCATAGCCTCTCTTGACATGTACTTGTTAATTATACTGCCGTGTTTCGCTACTGTTAATGGTCGCTACTTACACCCCCACAGAGGCCTGTCCCCTCACGTCAATCACCAGAGACTGCACCGTCCACTCTGCGTTGAAGCCTCCGTTGCTGACCTTTGACACCTCCACACGTGACGTCACACCTCCTGGGGAATGGACTTCAACGCTGGAAATCAACCATTAGAATTATTCACCTCGGTAATGCATCTCATGTGCGTTGCCAATAATAAGCGTCTTGTAAATATGCCCGGTTATGTTAGGCTAGGTCCTTGGCCCTAAAACTGGCTTATAATATAAGACGTCTACACCAGATTAATCAGCCGCGAGTAGGGGGCACGGGTGGCCCAGTCGTCTAAGGCGCCGCGATTCGCTGTGCAGAGTTGCGTCCCTTGGGCACGCCAGAAACCTATGATTGTGGGTTCGAATCCCGGTATTTGCCCCGATTATGTTTCTAGGTTTTTCAGCACCATACCCGTGCTCGTGGGTTTCACCGAAGTGGTAAACGTCTGAGACATGCATCACTTCGGGCGTTCCTCCCACATTAAGATGACACGCCGTGATATAACTGGAATATTGTTAAAAGCGGCGTTAAACCCCACTCACTCACTCAGTCTCGAGTATCCCCCGAAACAGATTCCATGAGGCGCAAAAGGCAAAATAACGGTGAAGATTATGTACATGGCTCACCGAAAATCAGCGATGACACCAGGTGTCCGTTAAAAGATGTCATCGCTGATTTTCGATGATCCATTTACATAATTTTCACCGTTATTGTGCCTTTTACGCCTTTTCGGGGGATACTCGAGACTGAGTGAGTGTGTGAGTTGGGTTTAACGCCGCTTTTAACAATATTCTAGTGAAATAAGACAAAGTATGTCAAGATCCTCTTTATTTTGTTCATTTCACAAGGACGACGGTCTCTTTTCTTTGAAGAAATATTATTTTGAGGGTAATTCATAAATACATAATTACATCCGTCCGGAATAACTCAATAAAATAACAGTAAATTGTCGTTGTTGCTTTTGTTGTTTAACGCCGCACTCAGCAATATTCCAGCAATATGACGGAGGTCTTTCAATAATCGAGTCTGGATACAGTCCAGTGATTGACATCATGAGCATCGTTCCACGCAGTTGGGATACGATGACATGCATCAACCAAGACAGCGAGCCTGACCACCCGATCCCGATAGTCGCCTCATACGGCAGGCATAGTCGCCTTTTGTGGCAAGCATGGGTTGCTGAAGACCTATTCTCTCCCGCATCTTCACGGGCGCCAGTCACGTGTAAACGACGAGACTTGGAATAGACATTAAAACAACTCGCTGAGTTTCTCAATCATACAAACAAATATTTGTACTCCTTGGTACTTACGTTTATGTAGAGCTTTCAAACCATGCTTACAGGAGTATAAAACTATTTTCATAGGGCGAAATCGTCACTTCGACATAATAGCTGGAAGGAACGGAAGCTCTACCTACTCACCCATATATCTGAAGCTGTGAAGAGTTTTGGATGAGGTCAGAGAGGTCAAATACACGCTGAGGATACGTCTCCACCACTTGTTTGCTGACTGAAAATAAAGTGTTTTTTTTATTTTAATTCTATGAAATTACCAAAAAATACAGCAACGCGAAACAAAGAAGGAATGAGCAAGTTAGCTGAGGGAGTCTCGAGTCTGTAAATAGTGAACAAGAAACACTCTTTGCCATTTGGCAACTGAAGCCATGAACTGTATTCTTCTCTCTTGCTCAAGGAGGAATAATACAATACATGGTTTCAGTTGCCAAATGGCAAACTGTTTGTTGCTTGGCAGTTCCAACTGTTGAATGTTCTTCGTGTAACTATCATTGTAAATTATGTTGCTGTAGGCGAGATGAGGTAAAATGGGGTTTAACGTCGCGTCCAACATTACTGCACCTATATAGCTGGGTGCATGCACGTGTGTGTGTGTGTGTGTGTGTGTGTGTGTGTGTGTGTGTGTGTGTGTGTGTGTGTGTGTGTGTGTGTGTGTGTGTGGCTGCTTGTACTAAAGTACTCATGGAGATGAAAAAAAAACTGTTTTGCTGGATTTAATAATCGACACAAAGCATTACGTAGATGTAAATACGAAATAACAAAACAACTGGAAAAGTACTAGTCTGGATTTGCTAGTTTTATCTCAGTGCTCAATACAAAATGTACTTTACAGGAGGTAATTTGTAGGCACTTTCAACATTCAAAAATAAAACTAAGTCCAAATTGACATGGCAGAAACAGGCTATAGGCCTTATGCAAATTAGCCTGGAAAAAAGTCATCAAAACAACAATAAAAATAACAGCTATGTTTATGTACATAATAATAATGACATGTAAGTTGTTGTTTGTGAGGGGAATATGTTACTTTTACGTTCTGATATTTTGACGATGATTCACTATCCCACAATGCCACTCACAAATCACTAACCACTGACAAATCACATGCACGTGGGTTTCAAGCACCTGTTTTCACCTGTAGTCAAGGTGCCATAGGTCATGGACATTCACCTTGATCTACTAACACCTGGTTATGCTCAGTTTCACAATAGTCTGTTTTGTTCATATTTTTACACACTTTTACGTGTAAAAAGACATCAAAACCTTTGACACGCTGTATTTGTGCCAAGGCCAAATGAGTACTAATTGAGTTGTTTGAATATTTATATATTTTGTATATCAGCTGCATTTATTGAAAATCTGAGATCGAAAAAACAGGGTTTTTTCATTTCCGTGAGTACTTTAGTCCGGAATGATGACGATTTATAGTGCTAGCACACTGAGATACCATGCCGCAGTTTAACATATATACCCCATGCAGACACAGTATACTGACTCCGAGCCGACCATTTCTTGTTTTAGCCCCTTAATGCCGAGTGCTAGGCGGGGTAACAACAAGTATCATCTTTTAACGTCTTTTGGTATGACGCGGCCGGGGATCGAACCCCGGTTCTTCCGCTCTCCGGGTGGACGCTCTACCACTAGACCAAGGAGGGGTTCGTATATCATTGTAAATGATGGTGGCAGGAGAATACAAAAATGAAATATTTACCCAGCTATCATATACATGTATGTTACACAATATGCTCTTTTCTATTAATTTTGTTATATCTACATATGTAAGTAAATGGCTTGTCACTGTCAAAGATCTCATCATTTCAGCAATGATACTAGTATAAGAGATCTACTCAACAAATCGTCTACAATTAAATGAATAGTATGTTTTGAAGATCAAATTATTCAGAAATGTTTTTCGGATATATATGTTTCCATTTTAGCAGGACGTATACTGTTGTTGAAGGTTCTATTAACACTGAAACATATGTTAAATTGAGATTTACCTGAATCATTCTACTCTTTTGTTATTATTCCGTTCTACTCCATTCTGCGCTGGGGTATGACAGCTCACTTGTACAAAGGATGTGTTAACCAGTTGCACAAGGAATTAAATGTCGTTATGTTCTTTTCTTGCAACTCACATCTACTAATAGTTGATATTTTGGGTGGTAACGTGTCATGTAAATACGATGGATATATATTATTAACAATACTGTAAATTGTCCAAAGCTTTTTATTTTTTCTTCTATAAGATAGTGATTCCCATCCGGTTTCAAAATATAAACCCCTATCTTGAGGAGAATTTAGGGAGACCTGTTACTGTGCGAGCGGCTTCGAGTTGAATCATTTAAAGTTTTTTTCGAATTGTCTTGACTGCAGGTATCCCTTACCTCTGAAGCATATTCTAATAGGCCTTATGAAAACGAGATAGATTTTGGAGCGGTTGGTCTGTCAAGTAAATGTTTAACGGTTAATGTTACAGAGATGTTCTTCCGCCACTAATGTTACAGTAATTGATCTTCCCTGTGCTGATGTTACAATAATGTTCTTCCTGTGCTGATATTTGAGTGATGTTCTTCCCTGTATTAATGTTACAATGATGTTCTTCCCTGTTTTAACTTTACAGTGATATTCCTCCCTGTGCTGATGTTACAGTGATGTTCTTCCCTGTGCTAATGTAAGAGTGATGTTCTTCCCTGTAACAATGTTACAATAATGTTCTTTCGTCATTAATGTTACAGGGAGGTTCTTCCCTGTATTAATGTTACACTGATGTTCTTCCCTGTATTAATGTTACACTGATGTTCTTCCCTGTATTAATGTTACACTGATGTTCTTCCCTGTATTAATGTTACACTGATGTTCTTCCCTGTATTAATGTTACACTGATGTTCTTCCCTGTATTAATGTTACAGTGATGTTCTTCCCTGTATTAATGTTACAGTGATGTTCTTCCCTGTATTAATGTTACACTGATGTTCTTCCCTGTATTAATGTTACAGTGATGTTCTTCCCTGTATTAATGTTACACTGATGTTCTTCCCTGTATTAATGTTACACTGATGTTCTTCCCTGTATTAATGTTACAGTGATGTTCTTCCCTGTATTAATGTTACACTGATGTTCTTCCCTGTATTAATGTTACACTGATGTTCTTCCCTGTATTAATGTTACACTGATGTTCTTCCCTGTATTAATGTTACACTGATGTTCTTCCCTGTATTAATGTTACACTGATGTTCTTCCCTGTATTAATGTTACACTGATGTTCTTCCCTGTATTAATGTTACACTGATGTTCTTCCCTGTATTAATGTTACACTGATGTTCTTCCCTGTATTAATGTTACACTGATGTTCTTCCCTGTATTAATGTTACACTGATGTTCTTCCCTGTATTAATGTAACAATGGTGTCCTTCCCTGTATTAATGTTACACTAATGTTCTTCCCTGTATTAATGTTACACTGATGTTCTTCCCTGTATTAATGTTACACTGATGTTCTTCCCTGTATTAATGTTACACTGATGTTCTTCCCTGTATTAATGTAACAATGATGTTCTTCCCTGTATTAATGTTACACTGATGTTCTTCCCTGTATAAATGTTACACTGATGTTTTTCCCTGTATTAATGTTACAATGGTGTTCTTCCCTGTATTAATGTTACAATGATGTTCTTCCCTGTATTAATGTTACAATGATGTTCATGTAAGGAGAAAGGACGTTTATGAGGTTTGAGGTAGTTTTCACACCCGTTGGGATTTCGGATAGGTACCCAACAACGTAAGTTGGTCTTAAGAGGCGACAAAAGGGATCGGGTGGTCAGACTTTGTTGATAGAAGGTCACCGTACCCCGACGGCATGGATCCTTGCTCACAATATCAATCACTGGAATGTCTCGTCCAGACTCCATTATTTACAGGCCACCATCATTCGGCTGGAATATTGCAGCGTTAAACAACAAACACAAAATTCGTCCTTAGCCATCGGAAAGTCTTGACCATTTTTATCCCCAGCTTTGTGTGAATATTGCTGAATGCAGCCTTAAACAACATAGAAACAAAACAGTTTTAGAAATGTCAATGTATATATACACGCAGCGGATGTCGGGTAAACTACACACCCTGTATCACCATGGAGACAGTTAAGGGGTCTTAAACTATTTAAAAAGTACCACGTCAGGGAGATTAACTGAAATGTCGGCTGCGGAATGCAAAATTAAAGCCTACCAGCCAATCATGTCCTCCTGCGATCAGTGGATATGTGCTGGTGTATTTGACGATATTTAACGCCGCACTCACCAATATTCCAGCTATATGACGGCGGTCTGTAAAAAATCGAATCTGGACCAGACAATCCAGTGATTGATAACATGAGCATCGATCTACCCAATGGAGATACGATGACATGCATCAACCAAGTCAGCGAGCCTGACCACCCACTCCCGTTAGTCGCCTCTTACGAAAGCATAGTCGCCTTTTACGGCAAGCATTGGTTGCTGAAGACCTATTCTACCCCGGATCTTCAATTGACGTAGTTTTACTGGGAATGGCTAATATTATTGTGAATGTGTTGGGTTTCACCCCGCTTTGAACCGTATTCCAGTTATATCACGGTGTCAAATTGATGTGCAAGTAAATTTAATGAAGGGAAAACCCACGAGCACAGTAGGATGCTGACAAACCTAGAGACAGTCAGTGAGAACCGGGATTCGAGCCCGCAAATTAATACCACTTGTCTCTGTATCCATTTTGTTTTTTTCATAACAAAACGTTAGGTAATTGATGAGTAGAAATGATGTTGATAAAAATTAGTTCATTTTATTACATCTATCGAAAGTTTGTCTAGAGTGGTATCAATATAGTTGATATGTATTTTATTTTCCATGCCAATTGGCCATCTACAATTACAGTATTGGGATGGTTAGATCTGTAGTTTTCCCACAATACTATGTGTCTGTAGGTTAGTCAGCACCGTTAGAGTGGTAAACGACTGAGACCTGCATCACTTCCGACCTTCATCAAATACAAAGCTGTAACATTGTGATATAACTGAAATACCCTGTCCCTCCACCACAAACAACTTACTTGTGAAGATCGGGGGTAGAACAGGTCTTCAGCAACTCATGCTTGCCTTAAAAGAAGACTATGCTTGTCGTAAGAGGCGACTAACGGGATCGGGTGGTCAGGCTCGCTGACTTGGTTGATGCATGTCATCGTATCCCAATTGCGTGGATTGATGCTCATGATGTCAGTCACTGGATTGTCTGGTCTGTCTGTCTGATTATTCACAGACCGCTGTCATAAAGCTGGAATATTGTTGAGGGCGGCCTTAAACAACAAACAACAAACAAACTTACTTGTGTTAACCCCTTCCTCCGACACCTTCATCCACACCGTTGCCCACGTCACCCCCACACACCCCAACACCAACACCACGGACAGACGGACGTCCATCGCGGTGACCATAGCTTCCTGACCCACGCTGACCAACCTAAGAGCCTCCGCAAGGCCCTGAACAGCGCTCACCAACTGAACATGAATGAACGCCAAGGACAATGCAAATATGCGACTCTCTATCATTAAAGGTAAATGAGTTTCACTGTCCTCATTAAACAGCCAAAACACAGCCGTCCCGCCCGCCGTTGTGTCAATAACGAGCACGAACTAAGCCTGTCCCAAAGCTGCGTGTATACATGGGCCAAACTGCGTTGAGAGTGATGGTATAACTACTGACAGGTGCCCGCTAATTTGGTAACCGGGTAAACAGGCAAAAGCCTTGTATTTTGTTTTTAACGCTTATTTGAAGTTTCGGAGTGTACGGGTGTGACGTGATCATGTACGGAACAAGGGCTTGCTTATCTCCGCGGAGAAGTCAGTCAGTCATTGTTCGCGCGGTGCATAGTTTAGTGTGTGAGAACATTGTTCTAGATTCTCATATGTCATTTGCAGCCAGCCAGTTGTAATAGGATATGTTTATATTTAACAGGATATGCTATAGACTACACGGGGTGTACGAGCGGTAAGGTCGACAGAGGCCCGACTTAATGACCTACCCACTGTTGCGTCCTTATGATTGACAAGATTGTGTGTTCGAATCCCAGATCCGACCTGATTATGAGCCTAGGTCTCTACAATTACCCGGGCTTAGAGAATGTCGGATCGGCCATTCGCGACATTCAAATGAATATTTATTGAATTGTGAGGTACATCCGTTCTGTAAACATTGTGATGCGTGAGTGAGTTAAAATTTAACATCGCATCAGCATTATTTCGACGAGACCAAGTTTAATATGTTTACTATTGAGTTATTTATCCAAAGCAAAATTTAAAAATAATTCATGAAACATGTTTGAGCATACTATATTTAAAAACAATTTATTTGAGCATAACAATATCACGTATACAGTTTAAAAACACGGGCAACAGGCCACCAGAAACCAAAGCAGGGCCACCTCGCAGGGGACCATGGGGACTTACAGTGCCTCTGCTTCCTGCATGATACCCCAGCAGGATTTACGTCATCACTTTAGCTACTGGTGGATGTGCATAATACTAGCCAAAAAACAATCACGATAAAGCACTGATCTTGCTTGATTGTGTTGATTTTTCGATCACAAGGGTGAGTGAGTGAGTGAGTATGATTTTACGCCGTTTTTAGCAATATTCACGGCGGGGGACACCAGAAATGGGCTTCACACATTGTACCCATGTCGGGAATCGATCCCGGGTCTTCGGCGTGACGAGCGAACGCTTTAACGACTAGGCTACCCGATCGCCCCTTCTAGAAGAAAGAAAGCTGATTCACTTGTGAAGAAAAGTTTAAATTTTGAGCTTCCTTTTTTGACGAAACAACTGAGATTGACAGACCTCTTTGCTACCCGACCGCCCCTCGATCACAAGGGATAATTTATTTCAAAGTTTCATCCACAAAGGAACCTTTTAATGTAATATATTATTTAATTGACTGAATTGATAAAAAAAAATATGTACACTGTGTAATTTTATAAATTGGTAGTGTCAAATTAGTAACTAAGATTGTTAGTGGCTGTACTCTGGATAGGGGTTGAAGCAGCGTAAATGTATTGTCCCCCTAAGAGGGTATGCAAGTTACACGTCATTCGAAGTATTTGTATGCATGCCTAAATCTTAAACGTAGTATAGTAGCAATATCACGGCGGGGGACACCAGAAATGGACTCCACACATTGTACCCATGTCTGGAATCGAACCCGGGTCTTCGGCGTGACGAGCGAACGCTTTAACCACTTGGTTACCCGACCGCCCCTAAACGTAGTATATGTGTCATATTATATTTTTTGGCTAGAACTAAAGGGATGATGTCAATCCCGTTGGGAAATCATGTAGGTAGCAGATGTACCGGAAGTTCCCATGGACCCTAGTATGGCTGCCTAACTTTGGTAGATGGTGATCTATATCTCGTTTTAATCATGTGTTGTTTGATATTGCGATATCTTTTAAATTGAGGGAGTGAGTTGGGTTTAACGCCGCTTTTAACAGTATTCCAGTTATGTCAAGGCGTGTCAGCTTAATGTGGGAGGAAAGCCCGAAGTGATGCAGGTCTAAGACGTTTACCACTTCGGTGAAACCCACGAGCACGGGTATGGTGCTGACAAACCTAGAAACATAATCGGGGCGAACCGGGATTCGAACCCACAATCATAGGTTTCTGGCGTGCATAAGGGACGCAACTCTGCACAGCGAATCGCGGCGCCTTAGACGGCTGGGCCACCCGTGCACCCTGATATCTTTTCAGGTTACATAATAGTTCAAAAATATATCCGTGATAGTTCAGTTATGTTACTGTCCCTTGTTCCCAGGGTCTTGAATATGGCTGAAATACTACCGGTGTGACTCAATATTGTAAATCGCTCACTTTCCTCTTAAACAAAAAAACTTAATATAAATATAACTGAAAAACATACCGTGCCCCTTGCAAGAGACGACTAAACGGATCCGGTAGTCAAGCTCGAGAAATGACTGCATTTAATCCGTATTGCTGGGATCGATGCCCATCACGTCAATCGCTTGATAATCAGCACAGACTATGAACGGACCACCGTGTTGCAGCTGTAATACTGGATTATCAGTACAGACTATGAACGGACCACCGTCATGCAGCTGCAATACTGGATTATCAACACAGACTATGAACGGACCACCGTCATGCAGCTGTAATACTGGATTATCAACACAGACTATGAACGGACCACCGTCATGCAGCTGTAATACTGGATTATCAACACAGACTATAAACGGATCACCGTCATGCAGCTGTAATACTGGAATAAAAGTTCAGACTATAAACGGATCACCGTCCTGCAGCTGTTATACTGGATTATCAGTACAGACTTTAAACGGATCACCGCCATGCAGCTGTAATACTGGAATATAAGTACAGACTATAAACGGATCACCGTCATGCAGCTGTAATACTGGAATATAAGTACAGACTATAAACGGACCACCGTCATACAGCTGTAATACTGGATTATCAGTACAGACTATAAACGGACCACCGTCATACAGCTGTAATACTGAATTATTAGTACAGACTATAAACGGATCACCGTCATGCAGCTGTAATACTAGATTATAAGTACAGACTATGAACGGACCACCGTCATACAGCTGTAATACTGGATTATCAGTACAGACTATGAACGGACCACCGTCATGCAGCTGTAATACTGGATTATCAGTACAGACTATGAACGGACCACTGTCATGTAGCTGTAATACTGGATTATCAGTACAGACTATGAACGGACCACTGTCATGTAGCTGTAATACTGGATTATCAGTACAGACTATGAACGGACCGCCGTCATGCAGCTGCAATACTGGATTATCAGTACAGACTATGAACGGACCACCGTCATGCAGCTGTAATACTGGATTATCAGCAAATATAAATATTCCATCCTGTCTATGAGGTCACATTATCTCCGAACCATTCATAACTATCACGGACAGGGCGTCTAGATGATTTACCTTGCTGAATCATTCCACTGACAACATGTGGCTATCGGCAGATGGACAAAAAGCACTCATAGACCATCAGGTAAAGGTAATCGTGTCATTATTTTGCACGCTGCAACCCATGATATGGGGCTTATTGATGGATGTGTGCTTGTTTTCGAGGCGAAAAAGAACACTGGTGATTTCATAAGGAGATTATAGGAGGTGATGTGTTTATAGACTGGTTAGAACTTCAGCTATTGCACATTTTAAACAACGTCAGTGTCATTGCCATTGTCATAGATAACGCCAGTTAATATAAGATCCTGGAATTCTGAAAAATCCAAAGCCCGACCCCCAACGTGGTTGGAGGGTCCGACCCGCCTGTGGAGTTTCAAGACGTTATCCCTTTTTTTAATTTTTGGCATCCATGCGTATTCTGGCCAGTCATGGTTTGACACAACGGAGCTCCTGAGGCCTGGAGAAAATAGTGAAAAATCCAAAGTCTGAGCGCCAACGTGGTCGGAGGGTCCTGGCCGACCCGCCTGTCGAGTTTCAAGACGTTACCCCTTTTTTGAATTTTTGGCATCTATGCGTTTTCTGGCCAGTCATGGTTTGACACAACGGAGCCCCTAAGGCCTGGAGAAAATAGTGAAAATTCCAAAGTCTGAGCGCCAACGTGTTCTTATTGAGGGCGTGTATTCCTATGCCACCTGCTGCAGGGCTCCGGATCTCTCGTGGAGCGTACACTCTGCAAAGCCTCAACCTGTGAGCGGATTGCTGAAGGCGACGTGTCCTGACGGCTTCACACTCACTGGTTGTGGAGGACACAATCCATGGAAAGAAGCACGAGGCTCATATATAGCAGGTACAATGAAAACAACAGAAACAATGAACGTAGTCAGTTGAGAACTGACAGTTGGTAATATCAGCCGCATTCTATATCAGGTAAGAGAAGAAATTCGCTTACAGTCATAACCATGCATTACCTAGAAGTCAGAGCACTGCAAAATACTCGCTTCTGGAAGCCTCCACTTGCTCTAACTTAAGTACTACCTTTCACTTTTAATACTTTCAGACGAAGCGGGTACCCCCACATGCCACGTGGAGAGGCATGGCCGAACTACCGTATTCTACGTATGTTGCTGATGGGCGGACATCATTAACTCTATATTTCAAGGAGTAGTAGTGCTTAGAGAAACACCGATATATCGACGATTTTTATGGATTAGCTTTCTGAATGTGTCCTGCACGTATATTTCTTCTTTTGTGAAATACTTATAACATTTGAATTGGCCAAGATTAAATTTCTGGATTAAATCCTCTCTTCATCAGTAAATATCGTGATAACATCTGCTGATGTTGAAGACGCTTTGGACAAAATAAGTTGTAGCAGAATCCCACGGGAGTTTTGATACCACGACCTAGAGGCATAAAACCACATGTACCCCGAGTGATACTGCTACAACGAATTAATTTTACCGACATGTTTTAAAATGACGTTGTAGGAGAGGTTAAAACAAATTCAAGATTGCTAGAAAACAGCTGTTCTATTAATGCTGAGGTTAACGTGTGCTATGTAGCGTGACCTTCATTAACTTGGTAAAAAGCGTTCGGCTCATTGCTTCGAAGCGGGTATAAGGGATTTATTCTCCCGCTGAGAAAATCCAGGTGCAGCCTGTTTTCTTCGTGGCGGAGTATAAGGGATATATTCTCTCCCCTCCATGGCTGGAAACATGGAATTTTATCAAAATCACGTGAACCAATCAGATCTCATCATTCAGACATGGTAGTATGATTTAGAGATGATGTGCATTCTTGGTGTTAAAATAGGGTTTAAAATGCCTCTCTGACCCAGTAACAAAGAAAACAACTTAGCAACAATCTTTGAGCTTACATTTTGCAATAAGTTAAGAAAATTACTGATAGATTTTGAATGCGTATTCGCTTTTTTGGACTTTCACATTGGCCTGACATATGTACAGTGTATCAAAACCATTGCCTCTAAAGCAAAATAAATAACTGATAACGACCGAGGTGTTATTGTATTGTATATTGATGATATTGTTTTACAAATGCAGCTAACTGACATTTTCCAATTTTCCCAAATTTAACGGAACATAGCTCAATAGCTTCTTTCTATACATATTCAGCAAGAGGAGGGTGCTGTTTTGAGTGTATGTTTCCTTAAGTTAATGTACCATATAAAACAAAAAAGGACAAATGTATTCTGCTCCGAAACTGGTCATTATGTTTTAAATGATTTAGTCGAATGCTTGGTCGAAAGGAAATGTTTCTCTTTGTCTTGACGCTCAGAGAACAGTATTCTTTGTTGTTGATTAGCTTCGTTTATATGTGTGGTTACATCTCGCTCAATACCCTATCTGTAAATGCGTTTGTTCTTTCATTTAATAAATATAAAATCTCAATGCAAGAGTGTGAACAGTCTTGATTGTCCACCGAAACATATTCCATTTTGCGAAAAGGGTAAAATAGCTGTGAATGAAATTGTAAAATTGTATGAATGGACCACTGGTGACACCGAGTGTTCTCGAAAAGGGTAATCATGTCCTGCCCTACCGGTAGCTCCCGCTATTCACATAATGTGCATAAAATAGTATTTATTACCTGACGCCGCACAGCAGTATACTTGACGCGACGGCGGCCTGTAAACAAACCTGACAATCAAGTGACTCAATTATGAATTACCATAAAGAATGATTAGGTCTTTCCTGTTAAACATTTGTCAGTCTTCCCTCTATGCTTCTCGGGATAGTTCCAGAGTGAGTGAGTGAGTGAGTTGGGTTTAACGCCGCTTTTAGCAGTATTCCAGTTATATCACGGCGTGTCAGCTTAATGTGGGAGGAAAGCCCGAAGTGATGCAGGTCTCTGACGTTTACCACTTCGGTGAAACCCACGAGCAGGGGTATGGTCCTGACAAACCTAGAAACATAATCGGGGCGAACCGGGATTCGAACCCACAATCATAGGTTTCTGGCGTACCCAAGGGACGCAACTCTGCACAGCGAATCGCGGCGCCTTAGACAACTGGGCCACCCGTGCCCCCTGCTAGTTCCAGAAGTAATGTAGCCAGTTCAATAGGGGTGTAGAGATGGAGATGTATATTAGGGGTGGGGTGGTGTAGCTAAGTGGTTAAAGTGTTGACTCATCACGCCGAAGGCCCGGGTTCGTCTCCTCCAATGGGTATATTACGTAAAGCCCATTTCTGCTGTCCACTGTGATGTTGCTAGAATATTGCTAAAAAGTGGCTTAAAACCATACTCACTCACTTATGTAACTATGCATTTGCCAATGATTAATCTGCTGAGGCTATTGTCATGGAAACACTAATCCATATTGTTCCTGGATATAGTCCTACGATATCTTCTGAAGAAATTTCATTGAGTATGCACTATTTAGGTTATAATTAAGAATTGACTTTCACTTTATGTTGGATTATCAACCTTCAAAGAATGCGGGTGGAGAGTGGAAGTAGTCCGTCAGTGTTTACGTCATTTAAAGAACACGGTCTCGTGAAAAACGCATGGACCTCAATTTGCGTCGTTCACTCCGCTTTTTATCGTTATGTAAACTTCAAATTAAGAAAAAACATTATTATGTGTTAACGTCAAATTTCGTCGGTCACACAGCTGTTTATCGTTATGTAAACTTCAATTTAAAAACATTTATCTTATCAGTATGCAGATGTTTCCATACACAGTCCAGGTAGGTAATATATAGAGTGTAGATGGTGATGTAACGTTCACCTGAAGACACACACGATGTCGGAACGTGTTTTGCCGGCAGTGCTCGGACTGTCCTATTGCCTGCTTCTGGTGGGAAGTGCGGCGGAAATGTTCAAAGACCCTGGTTTCGAGAATCCCGACATCAACTCTAGTTGGACAGCCAGAGGATGTCAGATGCGTTTGTCTACTGATCATGTGGAGGGAAAGCACTCGGTGGAAATCTCATCACGGTAAGGGCAACGCTGATCATTATGCTGGGTCCACCTCTGACCCTGGCATAATCGGTACGTTTCGCTATTCCTTGCGCGATTGGCTGAGAAGGTCTTGTTGTAAAATGTGTGTCTGTTAGCCAGCGATAATAGTGATAACGTATTGAACCTTAAAATTATGTTTGGTGCTATCATATATGTACCTTTACAAAACAGCCATCTACTGTGGTCCCCTGGAACTGCATAGGGAGGGAAGGCATCGTGGCCTAGTCCACCAGGTCACCGATTTCGCTTTATATGAGTTGCACCCACTAGGCTCTAGTGGAAACAATGACAGTGAGTTCGAATCTAAAATTCCCTCTGATTATGTGTCCAGGTTGTCAGCACCGCTCCCGTGTTCGTGAATTTCCTCAAAGTGATAAATATCTACGTCACTGTTTTCCCACACTAAGCTGACACGCAGAAACAGAAATATTGTTCAGAGCGGCGTTACGCCAACCTCACTCACTCCCTCACTCACTCCCTCACTCACTCACTCACTCACTCACTCACTCACTCACTCACTCACTCACTCACTCACTCACTCACTCACTCACTCACCCACCCACCCACTCAATCACTCACTCACTCACTCACTCACTCACTCACATGTATGTTATTATGTTGAACACAGAGCTGGTGCAAGGGCGGGGCCTGGACAGATGACTTCCCTCCACGTCAACACCCGTTACTTCGTCCAGGCCCGGGTCAAACAGCTGAACGATGTGACTGGAAAGATCTTCCAGAGGTTCACCATTATTATGGACATTCAGCTTCATGATGGTAACTTAAAATAACCAAATCTCTTCACTAGATCAGTGTTGTAAAGTCGTCATTTCTGTCAACAACCGAAGTCTTTATTGCTTAAAAAAACAACAGATGTCCACAAATGGCAGTGCTATACCTTACCTGAATTTATATGTACTCGAGGTAATAGACTGGTATATTCTAAACATGTGTTGACGTTGAACCAATGTCGAAGCAATGACACCGGATGATAGCCAATGCAGTTTTCACAGTTCCCTCACATCTACCCTGCTGTACATATTTGCTTGGGATGACAATTGTCTCTTGGGATAGAACATAGTAATGGCCAGAGGACGACACTGATCTTGTTGCTAGGTTACTCCCCTTGGCCGTGCCAGGAATCGCTGATGTTTGGTACGAAGCCAACATTCGCCTGTATGATCTTTGATTTGTCATCATAGTACCCTTGTGGCTTTCATGGAGTGGTGAATGTGTATGACCTGCATCGCTCATGGCTTCGCCGATTATTACTCTTTTTTTGGCTATAGAACTGAAATTATGTCTGTTTATGACATTAAAGCCAACTTTGTAGGCACTGAGTAGACTCTGTTTATTCCAGGTTCCCACAGCTACGTGGACGTCGTGGAGAACAATGGCATGTACAGCCAAAAGGGCTGGACCTCCTTGTCCGGTTACTTCTTGTTCCAGGAGACAGGTTTATTTGTTTGTTTGTTGATTGGTTGGTTGGTTAGAGTGAGTGAGTTGGGTTTAACGCCGCTTTTAACATTATTCCAGTTATATCACGGCGTGTCAGCTTAATGTGGGAGGAAAGCCCGAAGTGATGCAGGTCTCAGACGTTTACCACTTCGGTGAAACCCACGAGCACGGGTATGGTGCTGACAAACCTTGAAACATAATCGGGGCGAACCGGGATTCGAACCCACAATCATAGGTTTCTGGCGTGCCTGAGGGACGCAACTCTGCACAGCGAATCGCGGCGCCTTAGACGACTGGGCCACCCGTGCCCCGTTGGTTGGTTAGAGCCAAGCTCAGCAATTTTTCCATTTATATGTCAATAATTGAGTCAGGGCCAGACAATAAAGTGATTGATATTGTGAACAACGACCCATACCGTCGAGGAACGATGACACGCTTTTAACAAAGACATGGGGCGGTCGGGTAGCCTAGTGGTTAAAGCGTTCGCTCGTCACGCCGAAGACCCGAGTTCGATTCCCGACATGGGTACAATGTGTGAAGCCCATTTCTGGTGTCCCCCGCCGTGATATTGCTGGAATATTGCTTAAAGCGGCGTAAAACCATATTCACTCACTCACTAACAAAGACATCGATTTTGGTCATCTCTTAGGACCAGTACAGGTTGCTGTGGGCCTGTTCTAATCCTGAAGCCCCATGGGGCCCAGACAAAAGCGTAACACGCTTGATGCAACTGTTATATTATCACCAATTGTAAGGTTTACGTTGACTGTGCGTTATAAGGGTGATAGTAATATAAAGCCTGTTAAGTCTCCGGTTCAGTGAGTGAGTGAGTATGATTTTACGCCGCTTTTAGCAATATTCCAGCAATTTCACGGCGGTGGACACCAGAAATGGGCTTCACACATTGTACCCATGTCGGGAATCGAACCCGGGTCTTCAGCGTGACGAGCGAACGCTTTAAGCACCCCCTCCGGTTCAGTACGAAGCCGAAGCAACGCACTGCCATAGTCGGACGCCTACACCTTTTGTTAATTAAGATTATCCTTTATTTATTTTGTGTAGTACACAGTTCTCAGATGCATTGGTATGTACTTGATGCCGATGTTCCTGGTTCAGATCACAAGACCATAGAACTGAGAGTGTCCGGGCCAGACAGAACCGTCAATTACCGAGTGGATGACATGTCACTGACGGAAATACCCGAGGACAAGAACTGGAAGTCTGAGGCGGACAAGAGGATTGATCGGCTCAGGAAGAACAACATACACTTTAGGTATAGAATCCTGTTTGTCTGATAGTTTTGCACATGGTCATTTGTATTTAATTGTTCGAAGTAAAGGATGAACTGTACTTCAAATCCTTCTACAGTATTGCCGAGTAGTGAAATGAATTACTGTTATACTGGTATAAAACTTAAGTATTCAACAGGATTGTTTTCTAAATTCTAAAAAGTATGTTTAATGAGTTTTAATGAAACTCCTTATTTCTCGATATTTGTTCTATATTTTCACGTGGCTCTTGATCACATGAGTGTTCAGATCCCAAACACACACGTGTCTCCTCATCACATGTGTTCAGATCCCAAAAAAAACGTGTTTCCTCATCACATGAGTTCAGATCCCAATCACACACACGTGTCTCCTCATCATATGAGTTCAGATCCCAAACACACACGCGTGTCTCCTCATCATATGAGTTCAGATCCCAATCACACACACGTGTCTCCTCATCATATGAGTTCAGATCCCAATCACACACACGTGTCTCCTCATCACGTGATTTTAGATCCAAATCACACACGTGTCTCCTCATCACATGAGTTCAGATCCCAATCACACACACGTGTCTCCTCATCACGTGAGTTCATATCCTAATCACACATGTGTCTCCTCATCACATGAGTTCAGAGCCCAATCACACACGTGTCTCTTCATCACATGAGTTCAGATCCCAATCACACACACGTGTCTCCTCATCACGTGAGTTCAGATCCCAATCACACACGTGTCTCCTCATCACATGTGTTCAGATCCCAATCACACACACGTGTCTCCTCATCACGTGAGTTCAGATCCCAATCACACACGTGTCTCCTCATCACGTGAGTTCAGATCCCAATCACACACGTGTCTCCTCATCACATGTGTTCAGATCCCAATCACACACACGTGTCTCCTCATCACGTGAGTTCAGATCCCAATCACACACGTGTCTCCTCATCACATGTGTTCAGATCACACACACACACGTGTCTCCTCATCACATGCTTTCAATTCACAATCCTACCCGTGCATACACCTCTTTCCCTCCTTATAAGAAACCTATTGCACTTCACCGTCTGTCATGAGCTTGTGTTCATGAAACGCTATCAGATAGTGATAATGGCAGGTACAGTTATGTTTATGGTTCATCGCCACACTCAGTAATATTCCAGTTCCATGGCGACAATCAAACCTATGATTGTGGGTTCGAAACCCGATTTGCCCTGATTATGTTTCTAGTTTTGTCAGGACCATACCTCGTGGATTTCACAGAAGTGGTAAACGTCTAAGACCTGCATCCCTTCGGGCTTTCCTCCCACATTAAGCTGACACGTCATGATATAACTGGAATACTGTTAAAAGCGGCGTTAAACCCAACTCACTCACATGTATGTTATTATGTTGTACACAGAGCTGGTGCAAGGGCGGGGCCTGGACAGATGGCTTCCCTCCACGTCAACACTCACTCACTTACTCACTCACTCACTCACTCACTCAATCAATCAATCAAACACTCACTCAATCACACACTCTCTCAAAGAATAAAAAATAGATAGCCGTAAGACATCATATGGTTAATGCGCCGCTTCGTCACACCGAAGGCACAGGTACAATTCAAGAACCCAATTTCTGTTTGTATTGGAAGATTATTGCTATACTTTGCGTAAAACCAGACTCACATACCCAAAAAGTTTGGTATTTCGTTCAGCGTAAAACAATTTAACAGCATTTCAATGATGCCATTTCGGACATGTCTGTTACAGCGTCCATGCTCCGCCACATGTATCCAACGCTGACCTTGACATTCAGGTAAATGGACATGACGATATACCCATAGTGGAATAGGGGTGCACATAGAGAATCTCACGTAAGTGGGTTTTGTTATATCAAATATATCAACACGAGTCGACAAAAAGTCATAACTCCTAGGCTTTATAACTTGTTTTTCAGTTTGTAAAAAATGATAACCAGTGCATTGTGTGTAAACAGTACACCCAACCAGCAGAAAGATAAGCGATATCATTTGGTTATGACGTCGCAATGGCTTGCAAAGCATTGTGATGCAATCCACCCTAGTGATATCTCCTCGGAGAATAAACTGACGATATCTCTTTTGGAAACTAGTTTTGGATGATAAAAAAAATCGCTTCGGGTAGACAAAAGTAAATATATCGATACGGGTATCATAGTTGTGTTTTGGACCTTGTGTTTGAAGTGTTTCTGCGACTGTTGTCAGTGCGTTAACGTTTTGATAACGTTTTTAATTTTTTGGTCATTTCCTATTTCAAGTTAATACTTTCTTTTGCCCGACAGTTGTGTCCACATTTGAGTGTTTAGAACCACATACTGTAAAACGTGAAATTAACGCGAGCGTGAATTAAATGCGAAAAATGCGAGTGGTCTTTGCTCGCATTATTAAACATTGCTCTTTGCGACTGCACCAAAGGCCGACACGAGCCAGCGCACACGTATTGTTTTAGCTGAAGTACTCTACTCAGTGCTAATAAGCGGTGCTATTTGGTGTGTGATTGGATTAATGTAAGGTTGGATTAAGGTGAGGATTCTCCTGTAAACCTGACAGATGACGTTTTGTTTAGATATAATTCCACTGATGCTTGAGAGGAGGGGGTGTCGCATTCATATTGAGTCGCATTATTGGCTAGGGACCAGCGGTCGCATTCTTTTAGAGACGCATTAATTTCACGTTTTACAGTATTAACTTGTGCAAGAACATTTATATCATCTCATACAAAGGTGGACTTGGTGAAACACAGCTTCCCATTCGGATCCCAGACGGCATCTCATGAGATGTTTACATACCCGCACTACAACGACTTGTTCTACTACATGTTCAACTGGGCCACCGTGAACGACTACTACTGGTTCCGGAATCTTCCACCACGGGTAAATCAACCACGTCCTTACTTCAGAACCATGTGGGGATTCAAGGTTAGAATAGATCCCCATCAAACTATGTCTATCGGAAGAGTTGAATTAAAAGGCTGGCCAGACTGAATACCTCGGTTGATTGTGCCATTGTACCCGGTAGACTTGGATCGTTGCTTCTATTATCATTCACTGGTTTGTCTCGTCCAGACTTGATTATTTGCAGGTCATCATTATTCAAGTCTTTGAAAGGCATTTTGAAGTGATACTCATAAGGAGGAGAATTTATGGATGTCAACTTCTTTATCATGAACGCCGCGATATAACTGGAATACTGTTAAAAGCGGCGTTAAACCCAACTCACTCACTCACTCACTCTTTATCATGAGGAACACAACGTTTCGGAGTATATGCTTACTCCTTCATCAAGTGAATGAACAATATGTTGTTGTTGCTTTACATTGTTAAGAGGTCGCCTTCAGCCTTAGCAATTTTGGCTGACCATTCCCTCTTTGTGACTCATGTGTGAGTAGGGTACACATATCTATTACGAGTTTGGTATTCACAGAATTTCTGTTTTTGTATTGATATGATTTCTATTTTCGTATATTGATATCACTGTCTTCATTTTTATCCTTTTGCTGCTCTGTTTATATACGTTCGAGTAGCTGTCCATCACTCATAAATAGTGTTAGTTTGGCTTTAGGAGATCTATGACAGATAGCGGATCTAACTGCAATTCTTGTTTTAACCGAGCCCGGGCTGGGGTGTTGTCTTGACATTCCAGTATCAAGTAAGCAATGGATTCAGGTTGATAACAAGATAGGCATGCCTTTTCATAGTGCTTTTTGTGACCGAGGCTGAGGCGTGAGATTGCAATTTTAACTGTCCTTCATTTGAGTATGAGTATGGCTTTTGGTGGATCGGTTAAATTTTGTATAGCCATCTGCCGATCTTACTTGCGTCCCACTGGGCTTGCCATCTTTGGGCTATGTAGGCTTTGATTTTAGCTTTTTATCTCTAGTTCAGAGAATAGGCTGTATCTCTGCTTTGTCTAGTGCTAGCTTCGCCAGTGTGTCTGCGTTTTCATTTCCATGAATATCTATGTGTGAGGGAATCCAAGACAGCTCCACCTGTTGCCCTTGGTCCGATAGTTTTGTATAGTCGTGTAGAATATTACTGACTGTGCGCTGATAGTTATGGACAACCGGAAGCCAGGACTAAATTATCACTGCTAGGTAATTCCAGTTGTCCATAACTATCAGCGCTAATTACTGGAAAGTGTTGGCTTCTATCGTCTATTGCTCATCGCTTATCAGCGCCAATTATCTGTTGCCTTCTCTTGTTAAGTTTCCACCTTTTCTTATCTTATTACTTTTGTTGTTCTTACATGTACATATATATATATACGCCCTCTGCCTCATATCATTCATTCACACGATGAAGGAGTAAGCATATACGTTGTGTTCCTCATAATAAAGAAGTTGACATCCATACATTCTCTTCCTCATCATTATACAGCTGAAATATTGATGGGTGCGGCGACAGACCTTCAATAACCTCAAGTCAAGTCTGTATTTCTCTATTCTTGTTGTTGAATGTATATTGTCCTTTCACTTGCTATATTCAATTGTTCTACGAATAGTAAAGTGCGGACCAGACTTCATTTTATGTAGTCAAGAGTTTTAATCTAAAATCAAGTGCATATCTTTAACAGACTAACGGCAGTCGTGCGACTTTATGAAATCTTGGACCTGTATGACAGAACGATCCTACATCTTTGACTATCGTAACTCTCACAACCCGTTTATAAAAGACGTAGCACTTCCGTCACGGTCTTGAACCAAGACAATGCAAGGAGTGCAATTAGTGCCTACGGCGTTGAAGATAATAACTCGGGTGCCATACACTCAGTAATATTCCAGGTTTAGCACATGCCACGGAGACAGGGGGTGAATGCTTGAGGGTGTGCACCTTATTTCAGTAATACCCCAGTACATTATAGAAGTTTGCCACTTTGGGCATTGTACAGCCACCCAAGGATCATAATCAGGGCCAAGTGAGAACATTCTGCACTTCTGTATTTCTAGCACGACCCTGACTACGGGAACGTTACAAAAGCACTGAATCTACTTCACCAGCATGGGTAGGTCTATTCGGGCGTGATCACAGGGGGTGAATAATTAAATGACACTCGTGGTAATGGTGTGAGCAATATTATTTACATGTACATGTATTTCTGTTAGGCTAGGCATCTTGGGATGCATGTTTCATGCATTGATAACATGTGTAAGTTACAGTATTAGAAGGTATTTTTCTTAATTGAGTTAAGTGTTGACAAACAACATGAATCTACATATCATATGACACATTTCAGCTGCCAATTACCAGTACGTATGATGAAGCGTCCTGAGCAGAAGTTTGTGAAATGTTCCGTTGAGGATTCATTAATGTGTACATGATTGATGATAAATGCGATTGATACCTATTTAATGGGGCCATGCATGTTTGTTTCATCATAACGATTGAGTTCAATTGAGTATATGAATGGTTTGGTTGTCTTTCCATTTATTTAGCTATTTCATGCACCTGTTCTAAATTCACAATACATTCCAAACCCTGTCGATATGCTTTAAAAGTCCTGATATTGCACTTGGGTCACATCTTTCCTATCTTAATTTTGTGTATTTATTTTGCCTTGATATTAGAATATCTATACGGGGTCACAACATATTCTGGGGTCAACCTCGTCGAACACCAGCGTGGGTGCAGGATCTGAGTCCCGACCAGGTGAAGCAGGCAGTGGATGAAAGGATACAGTACATCGTCAAGGACACCAAGGGGAAGTAAGTCACAAATTAGTGAGTAAAAGTGGTAAGCTTCAAAACAAAATTCCTGCTTAGAAGCCTTAATTTTTTTCTGCGCATGAACAAATCAAATCTCCTTTACCTTGTTAATAAAAAAAAGGTTGCAACATTGGGATGTCAACAACGAGCTTCTTACCGGGCACTTGTTCGAGGAACTCATCGGAGACAGATTCTTCACTCACAAGATCTTTGCCAAGGTGCACCAGGCAGATCCCAGTGTCAAACTCTTCCTCAATCACGGCCGTGTTGTGGCGACAGGCACATTGACAAAGGTGAATACAAAAAACGGGGTTATTCTAGACGGGTAATTTTTATGATCGTTACAATATGAACTGTGTTTTGAAAACCTGATTTAAGTGGAAACACTTTGTCTCTAGCATAGTGGTTGTTGGGTCATTGGTTTTCCAGAGTTATAAACTTATTATTTAATCAGTCTTGAAAATAGTGATATTGTATAGGGTTCTGTGAGGTACAACTGTTCCGGTGATAATTATCTCATCAGGCATACGTGGACGAGGCTAAGGAGTTCAAATCGGCCAATGTCGGTCTGTATGGGCTGGGTGTCGAGAGCCACTTCACTGCGTACGAGGCCCCTGATCCAACACTTATCAAGGTAATAAGAAAATCAAGAATAACTTACAGACACTTGCACACTACATGGACCTTCAACGCATGTCCAGGTAAGCAGGTCAGTCAGTCGCTTCATTTCATACAGTGTTTCTGAATCAATACTTATCAATAAAACAGCAACTAACATCATCACTTTCGGTATGCATGTGAAAATGAAATATATTGAAGTAAGACGAGTTCTATGGAAGAACAACTTCTTTATTACAATTAGTGCGATGTTTCGGTGTAGATCCCAACACTTTTATCAAGCAAGTGATGAATAGTGCTAAACAACATAGTAATATATACTGATTAACATCAAAGTTTATACAGTAAATTGATTGATGGACACACAGAGCTGATTAGGGTAATTGGAAGAAACGTCACACTAATTGTAATAAGGAAGCTGCTCATCCATAGAACTCGTCTTACTTCATCACACCAACTTCTAAATGCCACTGAAAGAAGTTATACGTCGTCTATATGGTGAAGTGGCAATCTCAGCTATCAACAAACTCAGCAACCTAGATAAGAAGTACATCCGGTCCTCCAACCATCTTACCTTCCTCATGAGATGCAGGGACCACCAGCTCATCCCGAATGGCCTCAGACTAAGGAGCCAAGTCAACTCTGTGGCAGCCCGCAACATCCTACACAAAGCATCTGAACTACTCGTCAAAGAGAGAGAATCCGACATCACCGCAAGACCAAGACCCTGACTCTTCACAGTATCACCAAACAACAAGAGCATATCCAGAATCTCCTACACGCCGACACCTACTCTACCCTAAGAAGCATCCAGACCGAAGCCAACCACAAACTAGATGCAGCAACCAAGACAACACAGATTGCCAAACTCCAAAAACTGAAACCATCCAACAACCCCAGGAAACCACGATCTACTGAAGAGTACCCCAAGAAGACCGTTATCAACCTCAGCAGCAGAACTCTAAAACATGGATAAACTGCAGTTCTTTCCAAAGGATTGAAGTGTTCACCCACCTCTCGACCAAACCATGACATATTCATAGCCAATGTTGAGAAAGGGCTTCAAGAACTAGTCCCAGGGGGCGAAGTTGACTATTTGAGACATCAGATCGCAAACATTTTAGAAAACAAAAAAAAAAAAAACATTGCTGAAAGGAAAACTCTTAAAACTTTGAAAGTTGACCCATCCATCACCATAGCCCCAGCAGATAAAGGCAGAGCAACTGTCATCATGGACACCAGTGACTTCAATGCCATCACCAGCAACATCCCAGATGACCAGACAACATACCAAGAGCTGAAGAAAGACCCCACCACCCGACTCCAGAGAGAACATAAAACCCTGCTGAAAGAGCTCCTAGAAATGAATGACATGGCCCAACCCTCCACTAGTAGATGACTGTCCCTCACCCCAAGCCACCCTATGCCAGAGCCACAATCAAGGTCCACAAACAAGACAAGATCTACCAACAGACACATGGCCTTCCCATGGGATCCCCGCTGTCTCCTATCATCACAGAAATCTACATGACGGACCTAGAAGAAACCACCCTCCTTACATCATCTATCACCCCCCTCTCAACGGCACCTTTGTCATTCTCCAACCTGACCATGACCCCAAGACCCTCCTCAACCACCTGAATGCCCAACACCCCAGGATGCAGTTCACTATGGAAGAAGAAGCTGACAGACAACTTCCATTCCTAGATGTAAGAGTACAGAAAGACTCCAATAACAAACTCCACACCAGTGTCTACCATAAACCAACCCATACTGATCAGTATCTGCACAATTCCTCTAACCATCCACTACAAATCAAGAGAGGAATTATCGCCACCTTAGCCCGACGTGCAATCAACATCTGTTCCACGCCACAACAGCTACAAACTGAATTCAGCCGCCTCCGCCATGTCTTCACCAACGTCAACAATTATCCTACCAGCCTAGTTGAACAAACAATCGAATTACAACATTTGTTCTTATTTAACATGTCTTCAACTAATACTGTAAGCACAAGATACAGGTTAGAATTGGTCTGCAGCCACTCCTGCTGCTCATAAGAGGCGAGTATGTGATCGGGTGTCAGGCACGCTGCTCATGATGTCAGTCACTGGCTTGTCTGATCAAGACTCAAGTATTTCCAGACCGCCAGCATATAGCCACCATATAGTGCGGGGTTAAACAACAAGCAAATAAATAAGGACACACATGTTAGAAAATATTAGCAAGTTATCAGAGTTTGTTTTCCTCCTGTTGACTCACAATCCCCGAGACAGAAAGTGGTGTTATATTTAATGGCAGCGATAATTATATACTTCCCAAAAGAAACAACACCCGAGTTTTTCATATGACTAGAGTTCCGTCAGTCATGGATGGTAGTATATATTTGTTTAGGTGGATGACATATATATTTATTCATTTAATTGTTAATTTATTTTCACTTGTGCTTCATTTTGATTTCACCACTTCAACAAGTTTGGTACATATTTCTGAGCTATATTTCAGAGACGTCTGGACATGTTGGCCACAACTGGCCTGCCTCTGTGGGTCACCGAGATGGACCTTGCGGCCGGTGACGAAAATACCCGAGCTGACTGGTACGACACAGCATTGCGCATTATGTTCAGTCACCCGGATGTGGAGGGCATCATACTCTGGGGATTCTGGGATGAACATCACTGGAGAGGCCCGGATGCAGCTCTTGTTGATGGACCCCAGTTCCATGTAAGTTTTATTACACAACTGAATTTGTTTATGACTGCTATTTCTTTGATGTGTGAACCTGGATTATATAATTAAGAGATTAAACATACTGAGTACGTGCTTTTAATATGGTGGTGGTAGGTAACCTGTAGATTTAACCGTGTAAATTTGAATTTTGAAAGCAGCATTAGCGTGGTCAGAATCGAGTATTTTCCAATTTCCTGGTGGAATGTAGAATTAACATGCATGGTTTAGATTAACGCAGCAGGAAAGAGATACATCGACCTCCTCTACAAAGAATGGAGTACACATGTGACGTACAAGGTGGCATATGGGACACAGTTTTACGTCAGAGGTTTCCATGGAGACTACAGGGTGGTCGTCAATTACCAAGGCAACCCAGTGATGCAGCAGACTTTTACCCTCGGAAAACAAGACAAACAAGTTAGCATCCAGATCACCAACGTCAACTGTGAGTTCCGTTACATTCTACTATCATGAAAAAATGTCATAATACATATAATTTACACTGTATGCATATGAAATTCAACACTGTATGGTCAATAACCATGGCAAACCTGGTGATGCCGTTTATTTTAGAAAGCAGAATATCATTGAAATTTAAAAAATTAATTAAAGAAATTATTTTTATTTTTACACAAATAACCCTGAGTTTTGTTGCTTTACTTTTGTATTTTCCAAATGCATGTATTTGTGATACAATGAACAACCTATTTGATACCTGGCCAGGCTTTCACAGATATCATCAATATCCCCACAGCGACATCCCCGCTTGATAACCATCATTCAGTACTCCATCCTGTGACACACATCAACGAACGAACAATTGGTCACATGACTTCCGGCTCTTCCAATCAGCTTAAATGTTTAACCAGATACTCAGGGTTTTCTGAAGTCGCATATGACAAGATGGCATAGATGACAAGTAGGATGTCCTTCCGGGTACGTCCTGACTGGATGCTCAGGAAAGGTGAAGGTGAGATTAGCAGCCAGATTACACGGAGTTTGATTCCTCGCACAACCCCAAGTTATAGCTGAAGCATGAGTGTATTGATACCACTCCCCTTCTAGCATTCACCTGCATTCACCTGCTCATAATGTTAACTTATTAAGATATCACATCTCGGAGTTGGTTAAGCAGAGAGTTCACGCAACTGTTTCTGATTTAAGGACAATCGGGATCAAACTGATGGGGAGGAAATATTCTTCCTCACTGGAGCCACATGTGGGGCCTTTGAAGGAGGGTCACCTACGGCACGTGAGTCAAGCTGCAAATTATCGCACATCATTCTGACGTGAAGAAGTATAGACATTTCTGATACCTCTTTATAGTAAACATGCTTTAATAGTGTTTAAAACGTGTGCTATTATGAACATCACTTTATCTTTTTACTCAATGCCAAATCGACTCTTGCGACAAGCTTGAGGTAATTCAATCTCATTTAAATCAGATCTAGGTTCTTGCCGCCGCTAAATATAGATCTGAGTACATCCCATTACGGGTCACGTCAGAACGACCTTTCGCGAATTTTGACCGACCACTGAAATGACTAACAAGAAGTCGATAGCAGCCAATTAGAAAGCAGATTTCTCGAACTTTACGGCAATCATTTCAACCTGGCGACTTCCATTTCAGGCTACGCTTGAAAAATATGTTGACACAGTTCTCGATTAAAATTTTCAAAACTAAACAAACGTCCAATATATGTTTGAGATTGTATGGCAGTGCTTCCCAGTACTGTGCAACGCCTCCTCCATTCAAATGTATATAGCACGGTAGCGAGAGGTAGACGGAATCAGTCGTACGTGCCGTAACTTTCGTTCGGAATACCCCGTGTTAACGTTTTCGAGGTTGCATGATTAATAAACACATTCCAACTGTCACTCTGGCAAGCGACCCTTTGATTGGTCGGATTAAAGGTCGTTCTAACCGAACCCGTTATGGTATGTCCTCAGATCTTTTTTAGCGATAACGAGAACAAAGATCTGATTTTAATGAGATTGGTGGTAATGGATATCGATCTTTGGTGACCCTGTCTCCACTGGGGTGAAATTTGAGAAGAAAAAGATATTTCGTTCCAGTAATTTTCTGTCTACTATATCTTCTGTACGAACGGATCTCACAATCTTGACATGGAGGTATGATAAAAAAATGTATACAAATGCTGAGCCTGCCCGGCCGATCCTCGTTTCAGTTGGCTATGACTGTTTGTCTTCTCTCTAGTACGTTGCTTATCTCCCTCACAGCTCTCCAGGCGGTGGCAAGATGTTGCATGTTGACGGGTCTCACGTGTGACTACCGGACGTCCGGCCCTTCACTGGATGTCCTCGGCCAGAGAATTGAGACTAGGTGTCAGAACAACATGTATGCCACTGGTAAGAAAAAAGCTTGTCTCAATATCCTGTGAAATAGAAGTACATAGGTGATTTTTGGTAACTTTGGTAAGTACTTCACCCATGAATATGTAGAAATCTTACGATTCTCCACTCTAATCCTTCAAATTCACGCATTCAGTATTCACTTATAATCAAATAAATCCTGAGGCTGCAGCAAAATGCAAATAGACATGAGTAGTTCATTGTCTTAATAGAAGGGGCGCAGGCAGAAGAAGGAGTCGGTTGTCAATTCGCAGTAGGGAAACATATTGTTTAACAAAAGGCTACGTCAATGGCCACAATGCGGGACACTGGGACCGCCTCGAGTGATAAATGTCGTTACCCCCAATTATCGGTGTGTAAGTTTCAAGTGTTAGTGTTAGAGTTTACATAAACAATCCCACATGTCGTACATACAGCAGGAATCCAGTGGATGTATGTTGTCATCTTTGACGTGTGAGTCTTACTTTAATAAGGAATACAGACTACTATCACCGACTCAAACTGATTTAACATGGTCAGGAATTTCAACAACATTTACACCCCAAGAGCACTTTAAAGTGTCTGTACCTCTTCCATATTAGGTTGTGCTGCGCACACCTACTTCCAGTTATCTGACGGAGCCTTCCCATCAGCACATTCCTGTATTGCTCAGAATTTTGAAAACAAAGGAGGTAAGAATGTCGACATTGTAATATAATATATAGCAATTATGAATAAGCTGACCCAGCCTGGTCGTAAGCCACATAAACGTAATATTTAACTAATTGAAAAAATGGTTTACACAGATGTACAAATTCTAAATTGGATGGAACTGATCCCTCCAATCTCTTCCACATACTACACTGCAGGGTTGCAGTCCTCGGCAGTGTGTTGCTCGGCCCCTTATCTCACGTGCCGCGTGAAGGTCTCCCCTCCCTCGGGTCACAAGCTGGGGGATGCAACGTCTGTGTCATGTGACTCTGGCTGGCACCTCGTGGGATGCTCAGCCTACTCAGAGGATGCTAAACTGAGTGGGGCCCATATAAGAGGTACATAGCATTGCACTACATTTCAGTGAACTTTAAAACCTTCGAAACCTCCTCCAACAAAGCGTTTTATTCCAAAAATCCCTACATAAGTGTTAGCTTTCTATAAAGTTTAGAAACTGAGAAACATTTGTTGCATATAGGTTTGATAATGATGTGGGTTGATTGTTGACTTCATTATATTACTTGTATGATAATTGTATTATGGGTCCACGACCTTTCATTGAATGCACATACGTCAGTTTATCGAAAAACATTCACTTTGATGATGACGCACAAAAAATATATTAATAAACATATTGGAACATGTATTTGAATGTTCCTTAATAATAATACATAAATTTAATGCCAAAATGTACTTCAAAGAATGTTAATAATCTTTCACATTTATATCACAAATACTCCCGTTTTGAACTGAAGACTTAGGACTGTGTAGAATTGTTGGTGGTACCACTGACTTGTAGTGCAGACGCTCCAAGGTAATGTTCTTGCAGGTAACCCGGAACAGTGTGAGGCAGTGAATGGAGCCGAGAAACTGTACTGGGAGATGGGGGCTGTAGCCTACGCCACCTGCTGCCGCGGACGGTTATGAGAATAAAACTCACAAACTTAACTGTGTTTCATTTTGTGTGGAAAACATCTCGTACTGAAGAAGATTTGGTCAATCTGAGTTAACGCGTTAATACCAGAACTACCATGGATGCAACCAACATTTCCTGGTTCCAATACCAATATTACTCTGCATCTGCCAGTATACATAATTCGCGCAATTTGTCGTTATTGAATGATAAAACAGACCAAAACATTTCCACAAAAAATAAGAAATATCTGCTAAAAGCAAACTAAATTGTACGAATGTGACTATATCATAAGCACCTGTTTGTGAATCATTATCAAATAGTGATCATAGCAGGTGTTCGCGAAAGCCTATCTTACTCCACTGGTGGTACCTGTCACAAACACATGCACAGGCAAGTCGTCACTTGTTCACCTTAAAAACCGTGGTAAAGTAGGATACATATACTCAACAACAAAAGTTCCTGTGACACCAGTATTTTAGTGTATTTTTCAAACAATTAAAGTTTGATTTTCAATATTGTAGTACATGTATGGAATCAAGTCACAAAAAAGCAACTGCAGAAAAGCATGCATTCCATGCAACAGATGACTGTTATGCAAGTCCCATGCATTTCACTACCCAAAAATGGGTATAAAAACATGTGCGTTAACGGGATTCTATTATGCATTGTTTTGCATCGTGCCGACAACAACCACTCATGAAAACAACAAAATTACGCAATTATTCAACATTACGAAATGCCACGCCTGTCCGAAAATGAGAGTCTGCGAGCCATTGGTATGCTTGAAGCAGGATCGAGTCAACGTGATGTTGCAAGACAATTTAACGTCCACAGAAACACCATGTTGGTGTTTATGGCAACGTTGGCAACAGACGAATGCAGTCAGAGACCATCCTCGGAGTGGCAGGCCACACGTAACCAATAATTGACAAGACAACTGGATTCGAACAACACACCTACATAATCGATTCCAGCCAGCAACAGTGACTGCAAGAAGCATCCCTGGCCTTCGACGAATATCTTCACAAACCGTACGTCGCCGCCTCAGATGTGCAGGGATTGTCGCCAGAAGACCCGCAAGACGTCCCATATTGACAGGAAACCACCGTCAAGCACGTCTACAGTGGTGCAGACAGCGTCTACGCTCGACGGCCATGCAGTGGGGACAAGCTCTAAAGCTCATAGGCAGATATCCTGTAAGCATTATTCTAACTGACATCCCTTGAGAAAATTACCTTTTTGTTCGTAAGTACACATCAATATTATGATGTCATAAGGTTCTACAGATGGGAAGTCTAAGTATTGTGATGAAGATAGTAAAACCGTGTTGATGGTACTGAATTGTACAGTACACTCTCTAAGTATATTTCAATAAATTATGCCTGAAATATATTGCGACACTTGCTGTAAATAATGTAGAAACCGCAACATGTTATTTGTCAACATTAAAGATGAAAGATCTGAATAAATATTTTCTTTTGCCGGAATGTTGTCATCATAGTCCTAGGCCAAATGCAATCTTTTAGGAGTAAAAGTGTTATCCAGTAATTTGTATGACACCCTACACAAATTCCTCTCATTATAGAACTAGCCATACAAGTGAGTGAGTGAGTTGGGTTTAACGCCGCTTTTAACAGTATTCCAGTTATATCGCGGCGTATCAGCTAAATGTGGGAGGAAAGCCCGAAGTGATGCAGGTCTCAGACGTTTACCACTTCGGTAAAACCCACGAGCACAGGTATGGTGCTGACAAACCTAGAAACATAATCGGGGCGAACCGGGATTCGAACCCACAATCATAGGTTTCTGGCGTGGCCAAGGGACGCAACTCTGCACAGCGAATCGCGGCGCCTTAGACGACTGGGCCACCCGTGCCCCTTTAGCCATACAATGTATCAAGTTACTACTATGAACAAACAAGGTTTCCCCTTTGCTTGACCCACACAGCCGGTTGGTTAAACATGTACAGCACAGTCGGTGGGGTGGTTTTTATGTCTTCCAACTTCTGTAGTTAATTTATGGTTACTTTATCTTAGTTTAAAAAACTGCACTCGATATTTCCTTATTTTACAGTAACTTGGGTAAGGTTCTAATTTTGTTTCATTTTTAATTAACTACCCTCTATGTCCTTAGGTTGTTTCCTGTGCCTTTGGTTGCATTAGCATATGAAGAGTTTCCTTGAAGAGAGAGTTTAATTTAAACTTTATTGTCTCTTTGAATGCTGGTGATAGGAAATCTGAATCTTTTATATTATTATGTTTATTTCTAAGATTGGACTTCATTGGTATACCCATCCTATCCGTTTATTCACCAAAGGTTCTTTTTTACATTTTCCCGAGGCAAGGGCGTTAACTGACCATAAAAGTCAAATTTCCACCCTTGCCATACTAGGCTGGAAATTACAGACTCGAGTTATGTCCCTTCTATTTCCCTCCTATTGACCTATATCACCTCTCATATCACTTGCAATTCTTTTAAACAAAATGGCGGCGCCAAGTCAAGACAATGTGATCGATAATACATAGATCCGACCGGGAGCCATTTTACCAATAGTACTGTAGTACTGGCTTACCTCCTTTTGCATCCTGCGTATCATTCTACCTGTCGGATCGACTTGACCCGGGTGGTTAATAATCTTATACATCACGACTGAAAAACAAACCCCAACCCTATAATTGCAAACTTTTCTCAAAAATTAAATTCTTGCTTGATGCTAAATAAATGTATTGTTAATACGAAAACCATATTTTCTTCATTTCATTAATTTCCAGAGAATGATGAAAGACTCTCCCTTTAATGTATATTTGTTTATAAAAACCAGGAGTTGTTTTCATTTTCCAGTCCCAATTGACAGCCTCCGCGCAAAACACATTTGAAGATACATCTGTGTGTTTAGAGTTGATTTTGACAGCCCGGGCCAAGTCGGACCCAACACAAGCCAAACACTTCTGATAGAGACAATGTTGAGAATGTAGAGGGAAAAGGGCTTCACTTTGAGCCCAATGTTTTCTATAAATACTGCGATCTGAGACACTATAAAGTGGTATATCGGTAGATATAATACTAATTTTTAGATAAGAATCCATTTGATGATACATCTGTGAGATTTAAGCTGATTTTGACCGCCCGGGCCAAGTCGGACCCAACACAAGCCCAACGCTTCTGATAGAGGCTATGTTGAGAAGGTAGAGGGAAAAGGGCTTCACTTTGAGCACCTTGTTTTCTTTAAATACTGCGATCTGAGACCCTATACAGTGGTATTTTGGTAGATATTATACTAGTTTATAGATGTGAATCCTAATGATGATACATATATGAGTTTAAAGTTGATTTTGACAGCCCGGGCCAAGTCGGACCGAACACTTGTGTGACTTTTGACAGTATAGGGAGAAGAGGTCTACTTTAACCAACGTGTCTGCTTTAAATACGATGAACAGTGACATTATAAAGTGGTATTAACAAAAAGAAGTACTATCCTATAAATATAAACTCTATGCCGACAGATGGAAATTTGTATCACGTAAGCTAGAAGTATTGGATACGTGTCAAATCGTATTTCCTTTAACGATTGCTCTTTTACTTGTTACCTAGATCAGCGACGCTAACACAGAGTTCTACTTTCTGGTTTTCAAGTGATTTACTCCGAATTACTTAATTATGGTGCACGTTTTTGGTTGGTGATTGTTCAGTAATGTCATGTGTGTATGTTGCATCAATAATATGTAGGTATGATCGCCGATAATGAAGTAATTAGCCAATAACACTTTGGCCCGTCTTGGCCCGGCCCGGCCAGACTTCAAGGCAATGCCGTAGAAAAGGTCTTCAGCAAGCCATGCTTGTCGTAAGAGGCGACTAACGGGATCGGGTAGTCAGACTCGATGACTTGCTCGATGCATATCAAGTGTTTTATCGTCAACCTGACAAATAATGCATGCTTACATGACCTACTGTAAAAGAAAACATCCTGCAGTTTAAGTCAAATTATCATAATTTTCTCTATTAAACCAATTCACCCAAATTACGTGATGACAAATATAATAAACTTACGCGTATTTCCACTTCTCAATCAGAGATATGTAGGCCATATAATAAAAGTAGCCTTCTCACAGTTTGAGGGTCACCAAGCTCCTTGGCACCAGACAGACACACACGCACACACACACACACACGCACGCACACACACACACACACACACACACACGCACGCACACACACACCACTGACCATGCATGACTTCCTGCGGAGGTTCATGGGGTGGGGCTCCAGTAGCAGGTGGCCCTCAGTCACACACAAGGTGTTTCCACAGTGATAGGATACATCGCCATCTAAACTGAATTAGTTTGTAGCTATCACATTCACTAACCCCGGTCAAGTTATGATTACTCTGGCCATATTTGACACCCTCATTACTCCTCTGATAGCCTGACCATAGACAACACTCACCACTGGCACTCGCAGCACACTTCTTTACTTTTCCCTGTACTTTTCAAGTGTTGTATTGTCCACCTGACACATGATGCATGCGTACATGACCTACTGTAAAAAAACATCCATCAGTTTAAGTCAAATTATCATAATTTTCTTTTTATTAAACCAAATCACCAAAATTACGTCATGACAAGTATTATTAACTTATGTGTATTTCCACTTCTCAATCAGAGATCTGTAAGCAATAAAATAATAGAAGCCTTAATACAGTTTGAGGGTCACCAAGCACCTTGGCATACACACACACACACACACAAACACACACACAAACACACAAACACACACACACACACACACACGCACGCACGCACGCACGCACGCACACACACGCACACGCACACACACACACGCACACACACGCACGCACAAACACGCACACACACGCACACACACACACCACTGACCATGCATGACTTCCTGCGGAGGTTCATGGGGTGGGGCACAAGGTGTTTCCACAGAGATACATGTAGGATACATCGCCAACTAAACTGATTTAGTTTGTAGCTATCATATACACTAAACAGTGAACATGAACAGCTCTCCA